GCAGGTAGGTCTTGCCCAGGAAGCATTAAAAAGGGGGGACAGGGGTAAGCTTCTTGTTCAGCACCATTTATGACCTCTTCCCCCAACCCTCCGCTAGGGTACTTCATCCACGACACACTGGATATTGTGGTTAGCCAACAGGCACGAGCTTCTTGGGAATACCTCGTCCACCACGTCATGGTGAGAAGCAGGGGATGTGGTATAGGCCTGGTGCTAGCAACCTAGTCTCAGCTGTCTTTCTGAACCTGGGAGGTAAAGACCATCTTTTCTTAACTCCATCCCCACCCTGTGTCCCACATCTCATGCTAGAATGCTGAGGGCTGGCAGTCTCTGGGCCCTTGCTTCACTATTTGAGGCCAGCAATCATGGCCTCACCTTCTTAAGACTGGAAACTCCACCCAGAATCTGTGGGGAGGGATCAAAATTTAATCTTGACTCCACTGTAAACTATATTTCAGAAAGCAAATAAGGGAAGATTTCCTACCCCTCAATCTGGTAGCCTTGTTATTCCCACCAAGTTCCAGGAAAGCCTTGACATCTGGGTCCCCTAAGCCATTCTCTCCCTTGCCTTGTAGGCTATGGGTGCCTTCTTTTCAGGCATCTTTTGGAGCAGATTTGTTGGTGGGGGCGTCCTAACACTGCTGGTGGAGGTCAGCAACATCTTTCTCACAATACGCATGATGATGAAGATCAATAATGCCCAGGACCTCCTCCTCTATCGAGTCAACAAATACATCAACTTGTTTATGTACTTTCTTTTCCGACTGGCCCCTCAGGCGTACCTCACCCATTTCTTCCTGGGTTACGCCGGCCAGAGGAACCTGGGAACCTTTCTGCTGGGCATCCTGCTTATGCTGGACGTCATGATCCTCATCTACTTTTCCCGCCTCCTCCGCTCTGACTTCTGCCCCCAAGGTGTCCCCAGCCGGCAACACAAAGACAAGTTCTTGATTGAGTGAAAAACGCAGTTAGGGACTTGTGGTAAGGACAGCAAACACAGCCAAGAACACCCTCACACGGACTGAGAAGAGACTTATTAGCCCCTTGCCTGAGGTGTCCTCTGGGGCCAGCCACTCCACCTTTCAAGCCTGCACCCACTATTGAAAACACTAATGAAAGCACTCTTCTGAAGTCCTTGTCCTTCCTTGGGCAAGGGGTGAGGGAAGCAGACAGACCGGTTGGACATGGTAGATGGGTATGGGGACAAGGTGCTACTGGAAAGCCAGCCAACCCACACTGCCCTGAAATGGATGCTAATGAAAACTCTGGATACTGGTTTCATACAAAGCCTCTTCCAGAGATGAAGGAAGGGGTTCTTGCAAAGCTTCTTGCTTGGTCTCTTACCTCATGATGGAGGCCAAGTTGTAGTTGTCCTAAGATGTGTCTGGGTCACAAATATCTGTTACAGGTATGGTGAGGTGATAGGGCTGAGTGTTCCAACAGGTTAAGTAGACCAAGAGTCTTGCCCAAGCCCTGTTACTTAGGTGTGTATATACCATAGTATGGCCTCCCACCCAGAAATCAACAGAAAGAAAAGAAGCATACATCTAGTGAAAACTTTTATATTTAGAATTAGTCAGCTGGACTCAGTTTAGATGATCCCAATCTGAAAAACAAAAGGGAGCTTTGTTACTGGGAGTTGAAGTGTGAATATTAAGCGGGAAATGTCAAAGTTAAAAAGCAAATTGAGGGCACATGGTGAGGGGTAGGGCCTATTAAAGACGGGGCGCAGTCAGTTGAAACTAATCACCGAAGTCAAAGTTTGGTAACTAACAGACACATCATTTGCACCCAGGAAGCGGGGGTGTTAAGGAGTTTGTAGCAAAGGAAGCTTACTTTGTTGGCAACATCCAAAGCGTCATAGTCAGGAGCCAGTCGAACATATGCCTTCTTCTCTCCATCAGGCCTAGGGTGGAGAAGGAAGCCTTAGTCCCTACTGCCCTCACTGCCCCCATATGCCCTTCCTTCCTCCCCAGTCTTCTGGCATATCAGTGGTTCCTTTGTTCATGTCACTCCCCTGCCCCAAATAGTGATTTTTCCATCATTTGCACAGAGGGGGTCAGGGAAGCCACTAAGCCACAAATGAAGCCAATTCCATTTTATGGGAAACACCACAGGCATCCTGACATTAACTGTATCTTACTCTAGGGTCTGCTTCTGTCTAGAGATAGGGATCAAGAAAATGAGCATCAACCCCTTAAGTCCTAGAGGAAGGACAGCTGATGTTTCCTCAGAAGTCCATACTCCATACAAGGGGCTGCAATTACAGCAGGGGCTGCTCACTGGGAAGTCTACTTCTGATCCCAAAAGCAGCATCAAGGAATTTCATGCCATTCTGGTTTCCTGGCTTCTGACAAGAGGCCCAGAGGCCCCGGGTTCCTCCCCATCCCACAGGACTCCACTCACCTGATCAGGGTGTTGACCTTAGCCACGTCAATGTCATAGAGCTTCTTCACAGCCTGTTTAATCTGGTGCTTGTTGGCCTTGACATCCACAATGAACACCAGTGTGTTGTTGTCTTCTATTTTCTTCATGGCTGACTCGGTGGTGAGGGGGAACTTGATGATGGCATAGTGGTCAAGCCTGGGAGAGGCAAAATGGGGTCAGCTGGCTTGGGCCCAGTACAATAAAGAATGCGCCCTCTTTTTGGGCCCAGGTGCATCAGACAACGAGGTAGCAATCATCTGTGTCAGACTTTGGTCGCTGAACAGTGTCATCACGTGCACCCTGAAACTTAGGGACCTGGAGCCTCAGCTTGGGGACATCTCAAGGGCTTTCACGTTAAGTGATTAAACAATCATTTTTGAGTTCCAACTTTATTCATTCTTTTACCTGACCTCAACATTTCTGAAGAGCAAATTTCTAGAAGAAATTTGAGACTTAAAAGGTTAGACAACTTAACCCAAGAGCACAAAGTTAAGACTATGGGATCTAGAAACTCAGGCTAGGGTTCCAAAGAATGTTGGTGCTTCACTATGAGGCTGAATTGACTGTTTTGCCCCCTTTGGTTGCTGAAAACTGGCTTACAAGCCATCAATTCTTGAAAGCAACTTTTTATTTACAGCTCAGGTTAGTTACAGTGGCCATCTAACACAGCTTTCCCCCTGAAATTTAGAGAAGCAAGGCTCTATTTGCCTGGGTACACCATCCTCTTTTGAAGAGAGATCAGATCTCAATCTCTCATCACACTAAATTCTAGGTCCAAATGGCAGTAAAAAGTCTGTCAAGTCCATTTCTCCGTGGACACAATCCACTCTCCTGCCTTTTTCTTAGGAAGCAGTGGGAAGACCCACTGGTGATAACCACTACCATGGCTCTACTCTAAACTGTGCTCCCTAAGGTCGGTCATTACCACTAGTGACACCGAAACACTCAAGTACCCTAACCTTTTCCACTCACTCCCCCAACCATTCCTTGAGTGTAAACATTTGGGAAAGTGAATGAAAAGAAGTTGCCATACACTGCTGCAGGTCTTCACCGTCCAATACAGATAAATGAATCTCATCAATCTGGAATCATCCCACATCCTCACCTTACAGGACTATTCCCCACAGCAAAGATTTAAAAAAAGTGCAATGAGGAGCAACCTAAACCTGGAACCCCCAAACAAAGAACATCTAAGTCCCACTTTATACTCACAAGAAGGTAGACTACATATGAAATGATGATTAACCTAACAATTCGCTAATCTTGACAGTGACTCTGGGTTGTTTTAAACAATTCCTGCTAATATGCTAAACACACCTCCTTTCGTTTTTAAAGAGGGCATTATTCTCTTCATACTTCCTTTAGAGAAGCACACTAGGTACCAACGTGGTTTTGAGAAGCCATGCTCTAGGTTTGGTAAATTTCCAAATTACCAATGGAGGATACCCAAACATCTTTTCATGGGTACGGGGCAGTACTGACTTGTTTCTCCTAGGGGCGCTCTTCCGAGGATATTTGGGCTGCCTCCTGAGCCGCAGTGTTTTGGGCCGTCGGAAGGTGGGTGACGTCCGGATCTTCTTTTTTTTGTGGCTGTGTACGCCTTTCAACACTGCTTTCTTGGCCTTCAAAGCTTTTGCTTTGGCTTCGGCTTTGGGAGGGGCAGGGACTGAGAGAAGGAAAGAAGGAAAGAAAAATCCCGAGGATGCGAGATTCAGAAATCAATCACTTCCGGCCTCAAGACCCATAGTGGGCGCCCCAGGCCACACGTGCATCAGTGGTTCCTTTGAAGACATCACAAGTCTCAGGAATTTAAAATTTTTCCATCATATGCACGTTTCTAGGGGGAACTTGGGATACGATGAGAAAGAAACTAGCAATGACCGAAAGCTTGACACTTGATAAAAATGTGAACTAGTAGTTTTATGTATACCGTCGCCCAGCCATTGGCGGAGAGTATATAGCCCCATTTAACATGGGTATAAAAGAGAAGTTAAGGGTACCGATTCCTTACATGTCTAGAGACATGGACCTCCCCAGAGCCGACTGTTTGGCTGTCCCCCGCTGGTGGTACCGGCCGGGCTTGCCTCCCCAACACCCTTCACTGAAGCCCAGACCGCGCGGCTGGGCCCACGCGCTCCTCAGCGTTGCCAAAACTCGAGGAGCTGTCCCACAGCACACACCGCAAGGCCTGGCCCAGCCATCATCCTCCCAGTCCATTCACTCTGCGGGGACCCCAGGCCAGCCAGCTGTGTATCCCCAGCCCCAGCACACACCTTCCTTCTTCGCTTTCGGCGCCATCTTCGTGAAAAGGGTTTCCGAGACTTGTTCCCACGGCTTATAGAGTCAAGTCTCACAGAAGACTCGCGATACTTTTTAGTTAAAGCTGATTGGATACTCTGCAGCGCGACGCCCGCCGGGAATGGTAGTTAGATTTTATTTCCTCGCGAGAGGGATTAAACTAGCACCACCCCTCCGTTTGTTAGACCCTAAAGCTTCATGGGGGTTGTAGTGTTTTGGAGACGCGTGTTTATTTTATGTGGCGGGTGGATGGTGTAGCCTGCGGCTGCACGGGACTGAGCGCTTCACATCTTGAGCAACTTTAGGGAGGAGGATTACAGGATTGCAGTTACACTGCAAACTGGAATTAATATACTGTAGTTAGATTGACTCAGGTAGAGTGAAGCAAAATTCTATAACGTTAGAGCAGAATTTGCCCAGTCCAACTCCCTCAGACATCTGTGGAAATTGAGGTCGAGAGAGGGGACACGGCTTATTTATAACACGGTGATTAGGTGGCGGAAAAAGTCGAGTCAGGCGGAGGGGAAGAGCAAAGTGTCAGAAGAGGTAGGAGGTGGCCACATTGCCCCTATGACAGATTTCATGCTGTCTTCCCGATAACACTCTTGAAGAGACTACCAATTATTCCAAATACCCAGAGACCAGATTTCTCCAGGATACGCTCGTTCTTCTTGGGAATAATTTCATTCACAGTCCCCTCCCTTTAAGCAGTCTTCTCTTCCTTGATCCAGTCATCTTTGTGTCCCCAAATTCAGTTCCTGACACAGAGCAAGGTTTAGTAAACGCTCGTGTTTTCTTCTTTGAACGACTGTGCTTATCCCATATCACATCTCCTTTCTGTCCTGCCCCTCCTCTCTTGGAATCACCCTTGAAGGTGAGATTTGTTGTGTGCTACCCCCTCTTCTAGCCTGCAGACTGCAAAAAGGAAAAGTCCTGGGGGAGTGGAGGTAGATTTCAATGGGGTCAGAGCGAAGAACGCCCATACCAAAGGAGAGTCCCCATGTCCCAGAGCGGTGACTTCTCCAAAGGGAGGAATTCTGGGTCCCCTAGCCCTCCTTTATCCTCCATCAAGGGAGGCAGCTTGGTCTTCGGCGCCCCAGGCCCCCAATCTAACACGGCAGCCTTGGAGGAAAACGCACCAGATTTCGGACCTCTCTCTCCTTGGTGGTACCTCGTTCCGACCCTGGCACCCCCTCTACGCTCCCCACCACCACCTCCCAGGGCAGAAGGGCGAGTGGGGGCAGACCCTATGAGTCACGTCCTGGGCCTGGAGTTGAGGAGGGAAGCGCCGCCTCTCCTAGGGCCCCTTCTCTCCCCCTTTCCCCTCCCGCTGGTTCCTGGCGCAGCCAGATGCTGCGCAGCGATCACCGATTCCCCATCACCAATTCGACTGGGTAAGGGTCCCCATGGAGGCTCCGCCCGGCACAGGAGGTGCCCGGGAGAGAGACCTGGGGGATCCCGATCTGGGCAGGTTCCAACCAGGGTGAGGGCGGGCCCGCAGCCGGGTGAGGCGTCTGCAGGGGGAGCCTGACCTGGGCAGCGCTGGCGGGAGGAGGGGAGGGGGAGGCTGGGGCGGACTGCGAGGCCTGGAGCTGCCGGGAGAGGGGCGGGGGGCGGCCCTTTTCCAGGAATTTCCGGGGATCAAGTTACAGCGCTTGCGAAGGGAGAGCCGAGTGGGACGCGAGGCCCTGCAGCGCACTGGGCCCCTCGCCCCCTCCTCCAGCAGTCCACCGGCCGTGCTGTGCCGTCCCTGCCCACACTGACCCCGTGTGGCGGGGCCGCTCCGCGCCCCCGGGCTTCTCTGTTATGGTAGGGTCGCCTCAACCCCGAGTTGTCGTCGGGTCTTCACGGCCTCGAGTTATTGTAGGAACTATCCGGCCCCGGGTTATTGTAGGGTCAGCGCGGGCTCGGGTCCCCCCAGACGGGACTCCACGCCCCAATTTGGCGGCCGAGGGGTCTCCTCGCCCCCGAGTCGTCCTGGGGACGCCCCGGGCCCGGGTGATTGTGGGTTCGCCCCGGCCCCGGGTGATTGTCTCATCCCCGTGGCCCGCGGTGGTTGTAGCGTCCCCGAGGCCACGGGCTCCCGTAGGCTCCCCGTGGCCCCGAGTTATAGTCGGGACCCCTCGGTCGCGGGTGATTGTTGGGTCTCCACGGGCCCGGGTCGCTGGGGCGGATCAGGCCTCCGCGCCTTCTCAGGGCGCCCCGCAAGGCCGCAGGCAAGATGAACATTCTGGCGCCGGTGCGGAGGGACCGCGTCCTGACGGAGCTGCCCCAGGTAGGCGCCAGGGCCACGTCGGGCTTCTGGCTGCGGTGGGTGTGGGCGGGGAGTAGGCGGCACCAGACCAGTTACAGGCTTGGGCCCAGCCCTGCCGCCCAGCTAGGCCTGCTGCTTCTGGGTGGTCTCCTCCCCATCCCCCGCCGCGGGCTGCTTGGTTGCGGGAAGAGGGCCAGGAATGGGTGAGTCTCGTTCTCTTCCCTCCCTCTCAGTACCTGAGGAAAGAGGCCGCTTTGCACGTGCACAAAGACTTCCACCCCCGCGTCACCTGCGCCTGCCAGGAGCACCGGACAGGCACCGTGGGGTGAGTTAGAGACACCCGGAACGAAGAAAGGAAGTCCCAGGAAACCTGTAGTCAAAGCAAGGGTACAGAGCCAACAGCTGGAGGCTCCGTTTCAGCTTTTACCAGCTATATGGTTATTCCCGCTTTTCATGCCCCTGTGTGCTCCTGTTTCTTCCAGCTAGGTTGAGGCGAGTCCTAAGAGATGGGGTGGGGTAGGAAGGTGGCAGTTTAATTCCTGACAGAGAGAAAGTGTCCAACATGAGGGCGTGGTCGCCAGCTCAGCTTCCCACACACCATCTATTTGAGCTCCAGGGTAGGGAGCAGTCCTAGAGGGATGAGTCCTATTGTGGGTAAAAAAAGGTAACACTGTTAACAGTTGCCACCAGTAATTGAGCATTTACTGTGTGCCCAAGCAGTGTGTTGTATACTATTATTGTCTATTATTAAATGGAAAACACCACCACTTTTAAGATGTATCCTGATTTCAGAGATGTTAGAATGTATGTTTGTGTGTGTGTGTGTATGTCTCAGAATATAGGACATTTATCTCATTTTAACCTTCACAACAACCCAGTAAAATGTATGTTAAATCCCCACTTACCAAAGGTTGAAACTGAGGCTCAGAGAAGCTGAGAAACTTGTCCTAAGTCACACAGCTAGTAAGTGAGAGCTGGAATTCAAAATCATGTCTCTCTGATACTAAAACAAAAACACTCCTCCCCAGCATATCTGTCCAGGCCTGGTGTCTATGGTAACCTCAGCCTGGGTGCAGCTACCTTTGTGGACCTACTAGGGAGCATTGGGACTCCTCTGAGTGAAAGAGCTAGCGCTCACTTTTCCTGCCCACTCTTGTGTCCAGCAGATTTAAGATCTCCAAGGTCATTGTGGTGGGGGACCTGTCAGTGGGGAAGACTTGTCTCATTAATAGGTAAGAGGGTGCTGCAGCTGAGCTGGTCTGGGCTGGGCAGAGTGGGCCCAGGTCTAGCCAGGTGGGCTGGGCTCAGGACCAGAGCATCTGGTGCCCCCTCAGGTTCTGCAAAGACACCTTTGATAAGAACTACAAGGCCACCATCGGAGTGGACTTTGAGATGGAACGATTTGAGGTGTTGGGCGTCCCCTTCAGTCTGCAGCTGTGAGTTCTTCCTCCACTCCTTCCTGCCGTTCCTTCTCCCAGCACCTATCTCCCACCGCAGCCACCAGCACCACCCTGCCCCACACATACCTGTGTTCCCCCCTCTTTCCTCCCAGCTGGGACACCGCTGGACAGGAGAGGTTCAAATGCATTGCATCGACCTACTACCGAGGAGCTCAAGGTAAGGGCCACGGTTAAGTGAGGTAGGTGGGAGCACCTGGCCTCTAGTCTAGGGCTGGAGGGATTGTGGAAATGAACCAGTAGTGTCTTCCCCAACAATCTGCATGTTTTCTTCCACTCTTCCAGCCATCATCATCGTTTTCAACCTGAATGATGTGGCCTCCCTGGAACATACCAAGTACGTGCGCATGCTGAACTATAATGGGGGCTCTGGGAAGAGAAGGTTCAGAAAAGAGAGGGATCAGGAGCATGGAAGGGAAGGAGAAGAATGTATCCAGGACCAGAGAGAGGGTCCCTGGGCATATAAGTGTCAGCGGGGGGAGCCTGTCTAGCTCCCTCATCTCTTGCTGTCCACTGTCTATGGCAGGCAGTGGCTAGCTGATGCACTCAAGGAGAATGACCCTTCCAGTGTGCTTCTCTTCCTCGTGGGTTCCAAGAAGGACCTGAGTGTGAGTGTGCCAGTGGGGGGAGTTCCCACCTTGACAAGGGAAACCCCACCCCCAGCATCTGACTCTGGCTTTCCCCTTAGACTCCTGCTCAGTATATGCTAATGGAGAAAGATGCACTCAAGGTGGCCCAAGAGATGAAGGCCGAGTACTGGGCAGTCTCATCTCTCACTGGTGAGTCAGAGGCGTCCCGCCTTCTGCTGTGGCATTCCTGCCTACCTTGCTTCTCACTCCTACACTCCAGCTGTGCTCATTGACCCCAGGCCTGAAACTGCTCCCTGTGTCAGGTGAAAATGTCCGGGAATTCTTCTTTCGTGTGACGGCACTGACCTTTGAGGCCAACGTGCTGGCTGAGCTGGAGAAATCGGGGTCCCGGCGTATTGGGGATGTTATCCGTGAGTGCCCACCTGGATGAGGGTGGCAGAGGGCACAGGGACCCTCCAATCCCTGCTTCACATGTTTCTCACCCTTCTTCAGGCATCAACAGTGATGACAGCAACCTCTACCTAACTGCCAGCAAGAAGAAGCCCATGTGTTGCCCGTGACGGGTGAGGGTACTGTCCAGAGACTGCCCAGCCCTGGGGCAGTGTGCCACCTTTACTCCCCCAGAGCTCAACCCCTGGACATTTGCACTGACTGTTTTTCCAGACCAAAGAGCTGCCCTTGGTGGCAGTATCCCCAGAGGTGTAGCTGGGACCATGCTAGTCACTTCCTGCTCCCAGGCACCATGCCAAAAACTGGATGCCCCTCTCCTCCAGGGTCCTCCAGGTTGCCCAGTGGTAGGGAGGTGGGTGGGCCCTGCTGCTCTTACTCAGCCTGCTGGGCCCTCTGGGTTTGAGGATGCTTAATGGTCCCAGCCTCACACTATGCCTTATGCATTAAAATATCTGTTATTAGCAGGTTAGGTGCTGGAGTCCTTTGTCGGGGATCAGGGATGTGGAATGGGCAGGGCTGTATGGTGATCTTGGGACTGGAGCCTTCTGGGATTCTGGCCATTCCTGGCCTCTGGGCAGGCCTCAGGCAGGCTAGGAGCTCAGGGACCACGTTTGGGGGATGCACCGAACCCTTACTGGATGACATCTGAATAATTTTTGAGATCTTTGAGAGCTCTTTTCCTTCGGTTCCTTCCCCCCAAATGTCTCCTGCTACTTTGTGCTTATACCCAAGTCCACCATTGGATAATATTTTTATTTTTTTTCACCTTCCTCCTGCCTGTCCTTTAAAAAATACTTCTCTGAGGGGAACACAGTGAGAAGTGAATGAGTTTTGGGTGCTTTTTGGGTTGACCAGAAGGCCCAGGAAGGTAAAGGCAGGGCTCTTACTCAGAAGATGTGCTATCTGATAACATCTAACTATATTAGTTAACAAAATTATCAGTAGCGTATTCTTATATTTTAAAACAATTAAAAAACTAAATTGGATAAAAAATAAGATATATGGGGACTTCCCTGGTGGTCCAGTGATAAAGAATCCACCTTACAATGCAGGGGACGCGGGTTCGATCCCTGGTCAGGGAACTAAGATCCCACATGTTGTGGGGCAACTAAGCCCGCGCGCCACAACTACTGGGCTCATGCGACTCAACTAGAGCCCGCGTGCCACAAACTACCGAGCCCACAGGCCCTGGAGCCTGAGAGCCACAACTAGAGAAAAACCTGCACACCACAACCAGAGAGAAGCCCGCGTGCCAGAACAAAAGATCCCGCATGCCTCAACGAAGATCCCGCGTGCTGCAACTAAGACCCAATGCAGCCAAAAAAAAAAGACATACATTTTTCCCTCTTCAAAAAAAAAACACGTGCTCCAAGTCAGGAGGACCTGCATTTGAATCCTTGCTGTCCATCCTGGGACACTCAGACAAATCACTTATCCTCTGTGACTTAGTTTCTTCATCTCTATTATTATTTTCGGGGGGGCATGCCATGCAGCTTATGGGATTTCAGTTCCCTGACCAGGGATGGAACCTGAGCGATGGCAGTGAAAGCCCAGAATCCTAACCACCAGGCCACCAGGGAACTCCCAGTTGCCTCATCTGTAAAATGAGGTTTCATGGATGAAATAAGATAAATCACTAACATACACAGGAAGAGCTCAAAAACCTTAACTATTATAACAGTTTGGATGAAGAGTGACCGAGAACCTGGCTCACTGTTGACATCCAGAAGGCCAGAGATTGGCTAGAAGTGTCTCAGATATCTGGGCCAACAATGGAGGGACACATGTGGCCTGGTGTCATCCTGGGAGGTCATGGAGGGTCAAGATTAGAACACAGATCCTCGTTCCCAGTCAGCAGATATTCTTCCTTTGCTTCCATTTTTTTTTTTTAATTTAAATTGGAGTATAGTTGCTTTACACTGCTGTGTCAGTTTCTGCTATACAGCAAAGTGAATCAGCCATACATATACATATATCCCCTCTGTTTTGGATTTCCTTCCCATTTAGGTCACCACAGAGCACTTGAGTAGAGTTCTCTGTGCTATACAGTAGGTTCTCATTAGTTATCTGTTTTGTACATAGTAGTGTATATATGTCAATCCCGATCTTTTGCCTCCATTCTTACCCACTACTCTATTCTGGAAGAGTTGGCTTTTCTGCACTCTCCCCCTTCTCCTGGCTTCCCCTCCCCTGCTGTTCTTATTTATTTTTTTAAAACTATTTTATTTATTTTTTGCTGTGTGTGTCTTTGTTGCTGCACACGGGCTTTCTCCAGTTGCGGTGAGCGGGGCTTCTCTTGTTGTGGAGCATGGGCTCTAGGCACGTGGGCTTCAGTAGTTGTGGCACATGGGCTCAGTAGTATGGCTCACGGGCTCTAGAGCGCAGGCTCAGTAGTTGTAGCACACGGGCTTAGTTGCTCTGCGGCATGTGGGATCTTCCCAGACCAGGGCTCGAACCTGTGTCCCCTGCATTAGCAGGCGGATTCTGAACCACTGCGCCACCAGGGAAGTCCTCCTTGTTGTTCTTAGAGTTCTCTAAAGCTACAGTGGGTCTGGGTGGTGATCCTGCACTCCGGCTGCTGGGTCTTGAGGAAGGTGGAGGTTGAGATCATGCAGAGCAGCAACAGGAGAGGCCCTTGATGGCTCTGGAGAAAACAAAGTTTAAGCAACATCCTTTTCCCTTCTCTCCATCCTTTGAGGCATATCCTGGCTTTGGAGCCTGGTACCAAGAGAAATTGAGAGGTGTGATGTGTGGAAAGTTAGTGATGTGGCTGTAACACTTTTTTCATACTCTCCTGGAATTGTTTTTCCATCTCTGTTCCCTTACAGGACTGTGATCCCCAACTCTTGCCTTACACAGAGTGTATATGTGTGCGTGTGTGTGTGTGTGTGTGTGTGTGTGTGTGTGTCCTGCACCATAGTACTGTGGAGTGTTTGTGTTGTGTGGAGTGTGCGCAGCAGGAGTATGGGTCTGTGTTCTGGGTGGTATATGTGAGGGGCGTGTGCATGTGTGCGTGTTGCATTGGTCCGTGTGTGGTGAGTAGATTTTTTTACCTGCGCTATGAGTGTGATACATGCATGTGCAGTGTGTATACTATACTTAAGGGTGAGAGGGCTGTGCGCTGTGCGGGGCGTGTGTAGTAGGTGACTATGCGTGCAGCTTGCCCTGCTCCGCGCATGGGGCAAGCCTATGGAGATACGACATGAGGTTGCAAGAGTGAAATAAAGCACTAACGCACAGGAAGAGCTCAAAAACCTTAACTATTATACTAAATATTTGGGGGAAGAGTGACCACGATTCTTTGGCTCTATGTTGACGTCTATATTGGGCAGTATTGTCTCAATACAGGGTGCCCCATGGGGGCTAGGAGGGGGCGCTGTGGGTGGGCGCCGCACGGGGGGCTGCGAGCCGACATCACGTCTTCATTAGCTGGGCTCCAGTGGAGGGGCCTGCGGACGGGGAGAGAGCGAGAGCGAGCCCGGCCTCCCGCCAGGGAAGGAGAGACCTTGGAAGAGCCAGGATGGCTGGTTGGAGTTTAGTGGGAGTAGCTCCCTAGGCAAGCGGGCAGGGGCCCGAGTGTAGATTGGGGGCGGGGCTAAGGGCAGCTGCTGGGTTCCGAAGGATTGGGAGGGGCCCGGAGGTTGCGAGAATGGCTGGGGCGGGGCTAAGAACGGGGTTAGGGGCGGGGCTAGGGTCTGGGGGTAGGACTAAACCTGGAGCCTATCTGGAGAGGAACTAGGGATGGGATTGAGGGCTGGGCCTCAGCGGCCGAGCTAAAGTTTAGGCCTGAGATAACGGGGAGGTGCTAAGGTTAAAGTGGAACAAAGAGGGAGAGGCCCGGAATGAACTGGGAGGACCCGGATGAAGAGCGCAGCGGAAGCTCAGACTTGGGCTAAGACAACGCAGCCTAGAGCGGAGGGAGGCGGGAGACTGGGCAAGCACGAGGCGGAGTTAAGGGCTGGACTGGGGCGAAGCTGAGATTGGGGTTTACGTTGGACTCGGCCAAGCTGAGGTTCAGGGTTGGACTTCTGCGAGGAAGAGTCTTGTAGAGACGAAGAACTAGGCTGAGAGATATGTGGGTTAGGACGACACTGAGGATTGAAAGGTGGACTAAGGAAAAAACTGAGGACGATGCCAGCTGATGGGACGAGAGCGGCACCGGTAAGGAGAGGACGTGGCAGCAGATTAGGGGAGGGCTTCCAGCTGGAGGCGTGGCATGGGGCCTGGCTTGAGAACCCAAGGTGGATGTGGAACCTGAGAGAGCCCGACGAAGGAGGCGGGGTCAAGGACTGGCTGGGGCGGAGTTAGGATCTGGGGGTGGGCTCACGTCGAGACATGGACCAATGATTGAGGACTGGGGTCCTGAGGACCTAGAGAACCGCCTGCGCGTTCAGTTGGGGTGGTCCGGTTGAAGCCAGAGCTGAGGCCTCTGGTTGTAAGGCTGGAAGGCATTGCTGTGCCGCACCGGAGGCCAAGCCGCTGCCCAAGAAGTGCGGGGCTTGGCTGGAGCCCATGGTCCAGCGGCCAACTAGTCGCCGGGGCTGGGGCGGGAGGTTTCATTGACTCTGGGGCAGGAAAAAGGCTGGAAGTTCCACAGGTGACATCACAATCGCCTCCAGATGTGGGCGGGGCCAGGGAGGCATTTCCAAGGAAACGGGAGCTGCCCTGCCTTGCTCCGTCCTCTTCCCTCCTTCCCTTCCTTGGTTACTCCCTTCCTTCCTCCCTCCCTCCGTCCCCAGTTCTGCTACCCGGGTACCCCACCTGAAACCCTACCCCTTGTGCCGCAAGGTCGGGGGGAGCGCCTCAGCTCTCCAGACTGGGAGGATTCTGTACAAATGAGCATCACCTGTGAGTTTTGAGTTAGGCCCCTGCGCCCAGAATAATGCCCTACTGAGAAAGAGACCACAAGCCTCCCTCTTCCTTTTAAGCTATCACTCTCATTCATTATGAAGTCCCCCCTGTGTCCAACTTCAATCACTTCTGCTGAGGAGCTCTGGACTCTGCTTCAGTCGGAAACTCCGACTGAAGATCTGAGGAGAGTTATTAAATCCCTCCCCTTGGCAGAGTTGTAATTGTCAGGGCTTCTTGGGGGTGTCAGGGGAGTTAGTCAGTGGACCCTGCATATAAGCCTCTTCCATGGTGACTGGAGAGAGCAAGCAGAGTTTGAATCCTGACTCTGGCTCGCGCTCCTCTGGCCTGACCTTAGGGTCCAGGCTGGATATGGGAGGCTGTGGAGTCAGGACTGAGTAAAACCAGAGGGTGAGGAATTGGCTATATTAGAGTTGAAAAGCCGGTGTAATGGTAAGTGATAGCTGGCAGGGCAGTTTTAGATAGGACCATAAGTAGGCTGAAAGAGCATAGACTATGGAGCCAGGAAAACAGGATTTGAATCCTACCTCTGTCATCTGTTAACTTGTGTCTTTGGACAGGTTACTTATTGTAAGTCTCTGTCCCCATCCATAAAATGGGCTTTGGTGAGGATTTGAAATCAAAGACATATTTTAAAAGCCTCCCCCCCCGCCCCGAAATAAAGCCCAGCACAGTGCCTGATATTAGGAAGATGCTCATCCAAGGTCAATTCTCCTTCCCTAGAAAAGTCCCCAGGTTTGAACCCTGAGCAGAATCTCCAATGCCATAGCTCCTTTGTGGCTCCAATAGGGGCTTTATTCTCTTCTACTCATGTGTTCATTCAATCAACCAACATTTACTGAGCACTTTCCATGTTCCAGGATCTATAGATACAGAGGTGGATTAAATATAGGCCTTTTTCTCAAGTTGCTATAAACACATGAAGTACATTGGCGTAGGGTAAAGGGGCAAAAGAGAAGTGTGACCCATTCTACTTGGATAGCATTGTTCTTTCCAAGATGAGCAGGTGTTCCTGGGGAGTGGGAGGCAGGAGAGAAGGAATGGAAAAGGGAGGGGTGGGAAGAGGGATGGATGGACAAGAGGAACTTATAACTGAAGAACAAGGGCCTGGGTCCTGGGGACCAGTTCTGTCCTGATAAGGAGTTCTTACCTCATCCTGAAGGCAGTGGAATGCTATTAAAGAGGAGGAATGTGCTGAACCGGTTTGGCTGCATTGTGAGGGCTGGATATGGGTAGTGAGACAGAAGTCAGGGAGGCCAGGCAGAAGGTTACTCCAGCTGTCTTGGTCAGAGATAATGAAGGTCTAAACCCAGACAGAGGCAGATATGGGGGCAGGTAGGCATGGCAAGACTTGGTCATCAGGTTGGTGAGAAGTGAGGGAAGGAATGATCCCTAGATTTCTAGCTGAGGTGTCTGTTGCTCTCTGAAGTGGAAGATACAAGAGGAGGTGGTTCATGAAGGGTAGGGAGAAGATGGTGGGTTCATATGGGACATGTTGGTTTGATGTTTTGGGAATGTCCAAGAGGACATTGGCTACATGCTCAGGAAAGCAGTCTGAATTGGAGACCCAGATTTATGTCATTTTATTAGTGGATGTTGAAACCATGGAAGTGGATAACATTATCCAAGACAAGCCTGTAGCTTCTTCTGAGAAGGAGACCAAAGACAGAACCTTGGTAATCACCAATTTAAGGGGTACAGCAGAGAAACAGGGGACAGCAAAGGAGTTAGGAAAGAACTAAAAAGCTGGGAAGGAAGAGAGATGAGAGGCATCTGTCATGGGAGCCAAAGGAACAGTTTGCAGAAGAAAGAGATTGGTCAACAGGGTCAAATGAGATGAGACTAAAAGAAGGCCACTGGGTTTGGCTATTAGATCACTGGTGGCCTTTGCCTGGGCTATTCTGCTAGAGGGGCTGGGATGGCTGCCATGCTGTAGGTGGCTGGAGTAGAAGAGAGAGGTAGAGACTCTGAGCTCACTAAAGTAGGGACTAGGCTTCCTTCACTGGTGCCTAGTAAAGCTAATACATCCGTTAAATGAGGGAGTGAATAAACTTGGATTGAAAAGGAAGAGGGGTGGGATATGCAGTGGCAGAGTGAGAAACAGAGTTCATAGAGTGTTTTGTTTGAAGATGTTCATAACCTGTAGGGAGGAAAAAAAACCCAAACACTAAAGAGGCAGAAGGCGAGAATTCTGGCTGGGACCTAGAGTTCAGGTGCTTGGGCAGGAGGAAGGAGGGCCACTTCCCCAGGCTGGAAGTTGATGAGGGTGGGGACAGCCATAGATAATGCTGGTGAAATTTTGTGCTGAGAGTAACAGAAGCAGGGTAGGAGTTTCCAGGAAAGTGCTTGGAGTTTCATTCATTCATTCTATTAATTTTGAGTACTTCCTGTGCTGTGGAAAACAGAAGGAGCTCACCAGGGACCAGTAGAAGGATGACCGAGTGCCACTGAAAGCCCAGCTGAAGTCCCCAAGCAGTCAGCTACCTTCCTTAAGCAGGATTCAGCTCCAGTACCCCAAAGGACAAAGCTAAGTGGCAGAAAAAGGAAGTGGCAGACTCTACCCTGTGGTTGCTGATGGAGCTGCTGCCGGTTGGAGTTGTCTTTGGGAACACCCTGGGACAATTCCTGGAACCGTCCCTTCTTGCCTAGACTCTGGCTCACTCCTATTCATGACTCCAGATTCAGCTCCTATTATGCTTCTTCCAAGAAGGTCACCCCATCCCCATCTCAGTAGGTGTCCTTGTTCTGTCCTCCCACAGGCCTTTGTCCCCACCATTTCCCTCCCTATGTCTGCCGCACACTACTGTCATGCACTGTTCCACAGACCTCTCCTGCCTCTCCCCTCCTCATGCCCTCCCCCAGCCCCTTGACAGCAGGGACTGTTGTGTTGTTCTTTTAATCTCTGCATCTTCTGGGGACTGCACCTGGAGCTTCTCAGGAAATGTTTTTTGAATGAATGGTATGGGGAGGGGGGCTGCTGTTACACCTCTGTACTCTCTCAGATATAAACAGGTTACCCAGCTGGGAGAGAGGACATCTGCTGGCTGGTGTAGCGTCCAGCACTGACGCATCTACCTTCTCCTCTGAAGGTGGGTCTGTCTGGGGGATCTCTGGCCCCAGGGGTCCCCACCACCCCTCACCTGGTGGTAGGCAGGAGGGAGGGAAGTGTTTGGTCCTGAAGGGGTCACCCAGCTGCCCTACCCTGAGACCCCTCCTTGTGCCAGACAGAGAGGGCCACCCCTTCCTGGAAGCCACAATCACCCGTTTCCTTTGTATGGCACTTTATGTATGGTGCACCAATATCTTTGACACATGTAAACTGAGTCCTCCCAACAACCCTGCAAAATAGGTATTACCGTCATCCCCATTTTGTGAATAAGGAAATGAAGGCTCAGAGAAGTAAAGTAACTTGCCCTAGGTCACCCAGCTAGACTTGGACCCAGGCCTGACTACAAGTTCAGAGCAGTTGCCACCCTGCTGCCCTTTGCTCCAGTTCAGCCGTGCTGGAGAAAGCCCGAGGTGGTGGTGCAGGACTCTTACTCCCCCTGCCTCTTATTTCCCTGAGATGGAGAAAGGGCATGGGAGGAAAGGAAGCAGAAAGGGAGGCCACTAAGTGGATCTGGGGTGTATGGGGGACCCAGGCCCCCCAGAGCCTGGTGGCGGGGGAGGGAAGGGGAGGAAGAATGTAGGGAAGGCTCAGACCAAGCTGCTGTCTCATCTCTCAAGAACTTTAAGGCCACTTGGAGTAACACACCCCCAGCCTGATTAGCTACTAGCTGGTGGCCAGTATGAGGTCTTGCCCCAGTTCCACCCCTTGTAGTGGCTGGATAAAGGCACAGTCCTCCTGGCCTGTTTGGAGGGAGTTAGCCAGCCATAGCACCCCAAGCTGGGCTGGCCTGGAACTTGGGAGTGCCCGCCCCCTTTCTCCAGAGCCCCCTTCCTCCTCTGGGAGCGGGCGGAGCTGGAGTTCAGGGGGAACCTCCAGGAAGGTGCCTTGTCCTCTCGGCACAGGGAATCACTTCCTGGGCTTGTTTTAGATGGTGGCCCAAGGGGAGAGCCATTGGTAGACTGGGGCCTTAGGCAGGGTCAGAGGTGAGGCAGTGAGGGTGGAGGCTGGGAGACACCAGTGTGTGCACAGGGCTTGCATTCAGCTGAGCAAAAGAGGTAGGAACCTTTCTTCAGGCCTTTCCCCTAATCCCCAGGCCTCTCCCCAGCAGCTTCTCCCCTGTGCCCTGGGACACGGTATCTGTGTCGCCTACAAGGGGTGGACTGTTTGAGTCTGTGGCTCTAAGACTGGGGAGAGAGAATGGATGGGGAATGGGAACTTGATGAGTAAAGAGAAGGGAAAGAATCAAGAGTGAGCTTGGGAAAGGGGAGAGAAGTGAGAGTGAGAAAGGTGTCAGAGGGAGAAGAGAGAAGGAGGGAAAGGGAAGAGTCAGCGGGAGCAGCCAAGGAACATGACGCACTGGAGGCTCAGGCCTAGCTCCCCTCCAGGCTTGAGCTGTCATGCTGCAGCAGGCCCTGGGGATGGAGTGGCTTCAGAGGCTGTGAGCGGTCGGACACTGGCCTCCTGGGCCTGTGTGGGGCAGGCGTAGGAACTGAGGATGCTGCTGCCGCCAGGTTTAACTGCTGGGGACTCTGAAGTGGTGCTCCCGTCTGCCATGGCAAGAGGGCCCTCCCTTACCCAGGTACTCTGTGCAGTGGGGTAGCTGACAACTCCGAGCACGGGGTGAGGGGCAGGCAGGAGTCAGCAGAGGGCCCTGGGAAGGAAGGTAGGCTCCCACAGAAGGCAGGGGAGGGGAAGAGGCAGGTGTCACAGGACAGCAAGGGGGACTTGGTGAGACACTGTCCTGGGAGTCTGCGAGGGGCAGGCAGAGTCACATGCAGTGGACTGGGGAGAGGAGAGTGCTGGGCTGAGTTGTTACTACGCAGCAGTAGAAGCAGCTGTGGGGGGAATCCTGGCGGTCCAATGGTTAGGATTTGGCACTTTCACTGTCGGGGCCCAGGTTCAATCCCTTGTTGGGGGAACTGAGATCCCACAAGCTGCATGGTGCGGCCAAAAAAAAAAAAAAAGAAAGAAAGAAAAAAAAAGAAACAGCTCTGGGGGAGGGAGGGACGATGGTGGCAGCAGGTGAACCTGGTGAAGCCTTTATATTGAGCTGTGGGAAGGGAGATCCAGGTATGTTGCTGCTGCTGCGCAGTACGACCCACTCTTACCCCAGACTCCTACCCTGTCAGGTGAATTCAAGGACACTGACAGGTGCTGCTGGAAACACAGAAAGTGCACCGGGCACATCATCCATCCCTTCACCTCTGACTATGGCCACCACGACGTGCACCTGCACTGTATCAGCCACTGTGACTGTGATTCTAGGTAAGGGCCCTCCTCCTTGGGAGACCCACAGCCCAGGAGAGACTCCTGGGTAGAGCCAGATCCAAAATTTTCACTGTGGTTCCCTGCTTCAGCTCTGACCTGGTGCTGCCAGCCCAGCCCCAGCTTCTGTAAACCTGGCTTGTGTTCCAGGAGCCACGGGGAGGTCTTTTGGCAGACTGGGCTGAACCCAGTGCAAGCCTGCTGTCCCTCAGGCTTCTTGCTCTGGGCCCCTGGGGAGTCGTGGAGGCAGGGGAGCCAGCCTGAGTACCCTGTGTGGCAGGCTGAAGGACTGCTCAGAGAAGACATATAGCAGTTCCGGAGATGTGGGCCTAACCTGCTCCCAAGATGTGGACTCGGCCTGTTTCAACATCATCCAGTGCCCATGCTTTGAGCTCATCCCAGAGGGAGAGTGTGTGGAGCAGTTCTGGTGTGGCTGGTGAGTGCCGGCGGGCCGATGGGGGTCACTGGCCCCCACACTCCGTCAACCATCTTTCCCTGTTCTCCTCTCCCCCGGGTGCAAAAGCTACAGGCCTGTCTCTGTGGCAGTGATCCACCATCCCATCCACCGTGAGTGCGGGGCAGATGACCTAAACCAAGAAGAGGAAGAGAAGGAGGAGGAGGAGGAGGAGGAGGAGGAGGAGGAAGAAAGCAAGCCTCCCATCCCGACCCAGGTGGGGCCCCCTGCCCTCCTCACCAACACAGGTATGGGCATGGTCACAGGTACCCCTGACTTAGCAACTCCCATCACCATCTGGCGTTCCGAAAGCCCCACAGGGAAGTCCCAGGGCAATAAGATGATCAAGAAAATAAAGAAGAAAAAGGGAAAAGAGAAAGACAAGGAGGAGGAGACGGATGAAAAAGCAAAGGTGAAGAAAAAAGTCAAGAAGGGCAAGTTGACTAAGAAGAAAAGCCCAGTTAAATCAGAATCACCTCCAGACTTAAGCCAATCGTTAAGCCCAAGAGAGTTGGCCAGGATGTCAGAGTCCAGCCCAGACAGCTGGCGAGATCTGGACAGTTACAATGACCCTGGGCGGGAGGAACCCTCCAGTAAGGATATTGTGGAGTCTTTATCACCCAGGAAGAGAGAGAAGAACGGGGTCCAGGCCACGAAGCCCAGGATGAAGACCTCACCAGTCAAGAAGGTCAACATGAGGAAATATCCCCCAGCATCAAACCCCAATCTCAGTTGAGGCCAGGGCGACCAGGGCGAAGAATAAATACGATCAAACCTGTAGCTGACCCCCTGCTTCTCTCTCCCTCCAACCTGGCTATTTCTGGGGGGGGGGGGGGGGGGGCAGCGTCTGGGCATAACTGGAGCCAAGGGGCTAAGGAGCTGCAGGTGTTTCTGAAGGGCAATCCGTCTTTCAAGAGGAAGCCCAGAGAAGGCAGGTGGGAGGGCAGGGAAGGGGCACAGCCCGTTTCTCTGTAACATCTTAGGTCCAGGGCAGGAGAAGAGCACCTCTGGGTGGGAAGGAGGCTTCCTGTCTACTGGGAGACAGGTCTGTGCAAAATCCACTTGGTGATAGGCATTGTGTGCAGTGATACCACTAATAAATTGAAACTTTTAACCCACTCTGTGCTGCCTTGCCTGGCCTTTCCCTACTCTAAGTGGCCCTGGGGCAGGTGCTGGTGGCATCAAAAGGAACATGATGAACCTTCCCAGCTGGTGTGGCCCTGCTCCTGCTAGGCCCTTCTAGGCCTTTTGTGCTGAATTCCTGTCAGAAGGCCAGCCCCTTCCCCCAACTCTTGCCAACAAACAGCCAAAGGGATCTTGAATGAAGGAAAGCAAGGCGGGAAGCTCTCCAAGTTTGGGCAGCAGTGGCCTTTTCTGACTTCTCTGCTGAGCCCCAAGCAGAGGAAAGGAAGGGGGAAAGCTTTGCTTTCCCAGAGCTGACAGGCAAAGCTCTGAGGTGAAGCCCTAGTGAAGAAACACAGGGAGATCAGTCCAGAACAAAAGAGGCAATGGGGCTGGGGGAAGCGGCTAGTCAGCTCTCTTCGTCAGGGCTTTGTGTGTGTGTGGGACCAGGTGAGTGGGGCGCCCATCCTGGGGGAGATACACTTGACTCACGTGGAGGTACTGTCAGAGACCAAGGCCCAGCCGGCAAAAAGGGGAGAGAGAGGTGCAGGGTTCAAGTGGAGACACCCAGATTGACTTGTGGCCTTTCTCCCATGTGCCAGAAAAGACTAGAAGGCACAGTGGATGGGGTGGCTGTGTGTGAGTGTAATAGCAGCTGCTAACATTTCCTGAGGCCTGATGAGGTCCCAGGCACTGGACTTAGCACTTCACACATTCTTTCTTAGTCCTCACAGCTGCCCTGCTGAGCTAGGTATCATCATCTCCATTTTACAGATAAGAAAGCTGGCTTAGAGACAACAGGAACTCGCTCAAGGTCACAGGGCTGGGAAGTGGAACAGGGATGTGACCCTAGGCAACATGGTACAGAAGCCACCTGCTCCTCTCTAAGTCCCTGCCTCTCTGATGGCCTGGAAGAGGGAGTCAAGGGAGCCCTCAGAGCTCCAAACACTGCTTTGAAAGCTCCCCCTCAAGAGCTGGAGACTTGGAGAGAGGCTTTGCCAAGTGCTCTGTAGAAACACTGTTTATTCAAATGATGGGCAGGAAGCTTGGCAGCAGGGGGCAGGGGCAGCCAGGTGGGGCTGGGCAGGTTAGCGCTGCTCCCCTGCGTCCCTGTGATCCTGCTTTGATAGCCACCCAAGCTGTTGGTATCGGTCAGAAATACCTTCCCTCCTCTCTCCTGTCCCAAACTGAATAAATAGCATTCATCTCCCCACGAGAGCTGGGGGAGACTCACGTGCTGAGCTGGTGCTCCGTCACAGCCCAGAGTCAGGTGAGAGCAGAAGCTCAAAATGGCTTGTAGGGAGTAGAATACAAAACTGTTCCACTCTCATTTTCTTCTTCCTCTTCTTCCTCCCTGCCACACTCCCTTCCCAGCCTGGTCCCAGGACAGGTGGTCGGTGAGGACCTGGAGTGGGAGTATTGTTGCCTAGCGTACACTGAGCTCAAGTGTGCAAGGTCATCCAGACTGTCACCCATCCAGGCTGACCACCAAGAGAACGTCAATTCACTCCACTTTATGGACAGAAAAGGAGGGGCAAGGAGTGAGGCAATGGGCAGCCAGGCCTCTCCCAGCCTCAGAGGTAACCAGAGTCCTAGGAGCAGGCCCCCTACCGATCCATCTCGTCCAGGAGTGGGGTGGCGTCGCCAGCAATAGACATGGGGGTGCTTTCGATCATAGGGCTGGGGGAGGGCCGAGGTGTCAGCCGCTGCTTCTGTTTCCGCCGTTCTGCCTCCTTCTCCTGCAGCCACTGTTCCGCCATCTTCCCCCAGTCGATGGCTGCATGGCTGTTGGACCTGGGAGGGAGAACAAGGGCCTTTGAGACTGGGACTCTCTAGAAGAAAGCCTTCCCAGCAATCACTGGTGAGCATCCATTCTTGCAGAAATGGACCTCGCCTCTATGGACAGCAGCCATGGCCTGCTGCCACACTGTGTTCTTCCCTCTTCTCCCAGAAAGTAGTCCTCCTGGGACATCACCTGGGCCATGGCTGTCAGAAGATCCAGAGCACCTCCCTCTACTAATAACCTGTTCTGTGCCACCATCTGTATACTTACTTTGGCTGCTGCTGCCGTTGCCGGGAGCTGGAGGAGGGCTGGGGCTGGGGCTGGGCAGACTGAGGGGTGGTGCTGGCCTGTAGCTGGTGGTACTGTGGTGTGGTGATGGGCTGGCTTGGGGTTGTGTAGGAGTAGCTGGGGGTCATTAGTGGCGTGGCCACCGGCTGCTGGGCTGGCGTCGGGAACACCTGGAGAAAGGTGAACAGTTGAATCGGGACGGGTTTTGTGCTTATTTGGTTTTTCTGTGAATTTCTGGCAAGCTGAAAATTTGGGCTCCATCCAGAGCCTTCCAGCTGACCCTCTCCTGAGCAGTGTGTGGTTCTGAGCAGCAGAGGCAGGCCAACACGATGGGACCTGGCACAACAACACAGTGCACCCCTGACCACTTGAGGTTGCTAGAGGCTTGAGGATTCTAAAGATCCCAAAAGACTCTGGAAAGGTCAGAACTTCTCTCATTCCCGTTCCCCTTAAATGGGCCTGAGAAAAAGGAACATCTGCTGGAGACAGTTCCTAATGCTGTGGTAGCATCCTCTCCTTAGGAAGGCCCTCGTGGTGGGCACTGCAGAGGCCAGTCTATGGACACAGGCTGGTAAAGGATGACCGTTCCCTTTCACCCTTCCCCACCCTCTGCAGGGAGCCTCCTCCCCAAGCCACGTACGTGGTAAGCGCTGCTGCCCCCTCCACTGCCGCCATAGCCATACTGGCTGGAGGCCCACTGCGCCGGGGTGGCATTAGGGTTCTGGCCTTGTCCTGTCACGGCAGCAATGGCACTGAACACCTGTGAGGTCATGTTCTGGGGCAGGGCGTTCACAGCCCGTGTCAGATCTGTAAGCACACAGAGGTGGGAGATGGGTATGTTAGAGGTGACAGTCCTTCTAGCTCCATCCCTCTTACCCCCAGTCCCCGGCACGAGCTCCTTACCTGCAAGGTTGATATTGGCTGGGGTAGCATTGATAGAGGCAGGTGTCCGGGTCCTGCTGCTGCTACTGGGGGTGATGCCTGTAAGAAATGGCCCAAATTATGTCTCACCAGAAACCTACTTCTGGTTTTACAACTGGGGGGCTGGGAGAGGTACTGAGGTGGGTGGAAAGAAGGGAAGCTGGGGGGATTCCCTGGCGGTCCAGTGGTTAGGACTCTGTGCTCTCACTGCTGAGGGCATGGGTTCAACCCCTGGTCGGGGAACTAATATCCCACAAGCCACGTGGTGTGGCCAAATAAATACATAAATTAAAAAAAAATAGGGAAGCTGTACAGGCAAAGTGGAAGATGGAATAGGAATTAAGAGAACCACAATGATAGCCTAGGCCCCAGCCCCTCCTGTAGAAGGCTTGTGATTATCTTGACTCAGCACTTAGGTGTCCCTCAACCACACTCCACAAGTCAGAGAGAGTAGAACTCACCTGGTACAGGATCCTGATAATGATCCTTAAACCATCTGAAAAGGCCATTCACAGTCGGGAAGATTTGGCCCCGGTACCGGAATCCTTCTGGAGTCACTGTTACATATTCTATCCTGGGATTTTGGGAGGAAACGTGCATCAGATACCACTTGTGGCCAGCTGTAAGAGAGCGGCCAGAGCAGATTTCCACCATGTGAAGTAGCCACACTGGGTGCTGGGGGAAAGGAGAGATAAAAGAGCCAGTCCCTGACCCTGTAAAAGGAGGCTGCACTCTGGGTGAGGTGAGGAGGGCACAGCAGAGTCCAGGCAACGCCAGGAGTCAGCAGCCCCTGGTGTGCTATGTTCAGGCTGCCAGAAGAAGCCTTGCTGGGGGCTGGGCCACCGTCCTGCGCTGCAGTATGTTGGCAGCACACTGCAGGTGAGGGTTACTGAGATCACAGAGTGTCAGGGTTGGGAGGGGCCTCCCAGGGCAGCAAAGCACAGCTCCCCACGAGCTGGAATCTGGAAGTGCTTCTTGACGGTGGTTGGTCTGCCCTTATTTAACACTTTGCCAGAGCAGAGAGTGGATCAGAGGATGGGCTCTGGGTTCAGACCCAGTCCTTGTTCCAGTTTTGTCTCTGCCACTCATCACCTATATGGCTTTGTACCAAGTTACTAAACCTGAATCTCGGCCTCATTTGTAAAATGAGGATAACAGCACTTAAACCTATAGCGTGGATATGAGGAATAAATAAGACAACACATAAAGCACTTATCACAACACTTAAAACAGGTTGTGCTCAATAAAGGACAGCTGTCAATAGCCAACAGTCAACGCTAATAAGTACGGCAATGTGCTGACTCATATTAAGCTGAAACCTGCTTCCTAGATCTTCTACCCAACTGTTGTTCATTCTGCACCACAAGGAGTTTGTACCCCTTTCCAAGGGACGCTATCATGTTGCCTCTGCTCCTGGTTAAAGTCCCCTGTTTGTTCAACTGTTGCTCATGGGATAGTTTCCAACTGCCACATGGCCCTGGCTGCCATATTCTGGAAGCATGCTGGTGAGTCAGAAAAGGCTTCTCAGAAACAAGCACAATATTCCAGAAATGCCCACGATGGTGCAGGGTCCAGAGTCTAGAGCTTCTTGTCCTCTGGCCTCTGAGCCCCTCCTAATAGAGCCCACACTGTGCATCATGTGCGAGCAGTACAGGACTAAGAGCAGAAAGGCACAAGCTGTGGCCAAGGACCAAAGGGAGGATGGGGGAGTAGAGAAGGCTAGTATGGCTATCAGTCTGGGTAAGGGACACAAAGAAAGCAGGCCTAAGGAAATCAGACTTTGTCTGATGCAGGGTGAACAAAGGAGGGACTCCTTTGGGATAGAGGAATACCTAGGAAGGCCAGCCTGTCAGTCATACACAGAAGGGAGCGGAGCAGGTTGGTGACTGGAAGAGATGCTTTCCTGACCTATCCCCGTTCAGCACAGGCTCACCACAGCAACAGTGAGCCACCGTGTGCTGAAAAGCCCTGGTGAGGGTGAAGCAGAGTGGAAGGAGTGACCAGTGTGTTGGCCCCCATCTTTGCCAGTCAGGTGGAGAGAGTGTCTGGTAATTTCTATCACTCTCTGGGAGGGAGAAGAGGTGAAGGGAACTCCTTTTCACAGGGTTGATTAAAGAACCTTTCTTATTCAGTCTGCCTTTTGCCTCTAAATCATCACCCTCTTTCCCCACCTCCAACCTCCACCTCCACTCTGAACAGATAAGAGGAGAAAGGCAGTCAAGCAGAACCAGAGAGAGTACTGTTTGGGGGCCTGCTAGCCTATCTGTGGACCCCAGTGGCAGCACCTTCTCAGCACCAGTGCTCACCTGGGTTTACCCCGGGGCTGGTATCCCAGTAGGAACTTGCCGGGCAGTTCCTTGCAGGCACAGATGAAATAGGGAATGAAGGTGGGCTTCTCCTTCTTAGTTTTGATGAGCAGCTCCTCTAATTTCTGGGGGTAGAATGAGGGGGAGAGGTTGGGATAGCAGCATGCTTGGTACACAATGTCTGGCTCACACATGATGTACACCTCCTTCACCAGCTGAGCATCCCCTACACTGAAGGGAAACCATACATCCGTAAGTGACTGGGAGGTGTCATCCCTTGCAGGGCCCTGGGCTCACCTTACGGTCCCCACCACTGCAGTCCTGATAATACTTGTGGTTCAGAAGGTCCCGGGCAAAGGACGCCATAGGCTGAACATAGCGGGCAACAATCTCATCCAAGTCTTCAAATTCCTGTGGGAAGAAAAAGGCCCCGACTGTCATATCCAGAGCTGAGATTCAGCCTTTCATCAAATCCACTTGGAAGAGAACCCACTGGAGGGGAGGAACTTCCCAGCCCTGCTGCAGCCTCACTCTGCTGCAAAGTCCCCTCAATTTATCTATCTGTCTGAGTCATGCCCAGATTTATTAGCTTACAAGGCACAAAATCCTTTAATTCATAACTTTAGTTCTCCCTTAGTGCTTGGGAACAATAGGGGGCTTCATAAAATTTCTCTCCACTGAAAACAGGACAAAGAAATTTGGTGTGTGTGTGTCGTGCACGAAGCGCTTGCATGTGTATTTTCTCCTCTTCCTCCAGCGGTTCTCTAGTCTATTTTAAAATCTGGAGAACAGGGAAAGAAGTGCAAAATATACAAAACTGATATCAAATTACTCATTTCATAAACAACCTCCTGTTTTGTTGCTCTGTGTAGCTAAAATACAATGCATACCAGTAACTAAGGTGAAAGTGGTTTGTTTCTGGAAGCAGGAGTGGGGATGCTAGTGCAGGCAGGGGCTGCCTCTCACCTCACTGTTGATCCACAGGGTGGCTCCCAGGCTGAAGGCATTTTCCTTGCCCTCTTCCCGCACATCCACGTGCTGGTATATGCCGTCACTGACCTTCCAGGTCACTGTCAGGTGATTTTCACCCTTGCTGCTCGGTCGGATGATCACGTCACCCTGGTCCATGGTCTCCATCATTTTTTCTGCTTGCTTAAAATTTATATTATGGAAGGACGGGTGTGCAATCACTCGCTTGATATATGCTGAAGAGAGCAGGAAAGAAGTATAGATCAGGTGATGGGACTGGGAGCCAACATCAATGGGACAGGCCATGGCTTAATCTCTGACCCACTACTGAATTCTGAGACTCTTTCACCCTCTCTGGGCCTGGATTCTCTGATATGAACGATATGTTAACCTGGGCCCCTGGGTGCTGAGAGAATGAAGCTTTAAGAGTCACAGTGCATTAGCAAAGAAAATGTGACCCAAGAAGACCCCAGCTTCCAGCCCTGCCAATGGCTCCCTTTCATGATGCCTCTAGGTCTCAGCACCTCAGAGCTGAGCACTCACTCCCACTGGGAAGCTGAGCAGTCAGCAGTGCATCCTGCAGAGGGAGAGCTGCCAGGACTTGGGGTGCACAGGCATGGTCATGGGCACACTCACTGGTCCGCTGCTGCTTCCGTTTCATGTCCTCTTCCTGCTTGTGGTCTGCTGCTTCAGCGTCAAAGTCATAGTAGGTGTCCTTGGGCAGTTTCCACTCGTTGTTCCTGTCCATGAGGTCTGAGGTGCGGCAGGTCAGGTCTGCACTAAACTTCTCAATGTCAATCTTCATGATGCGGCAGTGAACAGTCATTCCCACCTAGATCCACAGAACATTTGAGCTGGAAGGGACAAAGATGGTCTAGCCCGATGCCCTATTTTACATGTGAGAAAAGCAAAGTCCAGGCAGAAAGGTGGAGTGACTGCCCAAAGCCAGCCAGCTACTGAGTGGCAGATTAGCAGGAGTTCAGAGTTCAGTTTCGTCTGCAGACTATAGTCTGTGCTCTGTACTGATGCCTCCCACTCTAGGCAGAAAAACCAACTGAAGCCTCCTGGGACTGGTAATATTCCCTTTTTCTCATAAAGCTGCCTAATTATTGCTGCTAGGATGTGATCCAAGTCTGGCTGCCCTTTCTGGAGGGAAAGCAAAGTAGTAGCTATTTTCTGTACTTTACCCCTGATTTGAGCCCTTCTGTCTAAAGAGTGACAAAACCCAGTCATCTGCATGGCTCTCCTTCTGAAAATCTCCCTAGCTTCATTTACAGGCATACCTTGGAGATATTGCAGGCTCAGTTCCAGACCACCGCAATAAAGCAGATATCACAATAAAGTGAGTCACAAGAATTTTTTAGTTTCCCGGTACATATAAAAGTTATGTTCACACTATAGTCTACTAAGGGTGCAACACTATTATGTTTTAAAAAATGTACATACCTTCGTTAAAAAATACTTTATTGCTTAAAAATGTTAACCATCACCTGAGCCTTTAGTGAGTCCTAATCTTTTTGCAAGACTAACATCAAAGACTACTGGTCACAAATCACCCTAACAAATATAATGAAAAAGTTTGAAATACTGTGAGAATTACCACACATAAATGTGACACAGAGACACGAAGTGATCAAATGCTGTTGGGAAAATGGTACTGATAGACTTGCTCGATGCAGGGTTACTACCAACCTTAAATTTGTAAAAACAAACAAACAAACAGTATCTGCAAAGGTCAATAAAATCAGGTATGCCTGTATTCGGAATGTCTTTCCCCAGCCTTCCTAAGTCCATAGGCTCAGGGGTTCACAACACTTAGAACCAGAGAATTTGGCAGATGTGGTACCAGCTGTATCACTAACAAACCAGCTGATCCTGGAAAAGGCACTCAAATTTCTCTGAAAAGAGAAAGTAGTATTTCCTTCCCCATCAGGCTGTGAGATTTGAGTCAACATATGTAAATGTCAAGGGCTGGTATCTAGTGTGTGCAGAATAAATGGCAGCTCTGACAAGAGAATACTAGAACAGAAAGGGAGCTTAGCCTTTCTGCTTCGCAGCATGTAATGCTGGGCCCTGCTTCCTGCCCGCCGGACTAAACCACAGCTTCCCACGCAGGAAGAGAGAGCCCTCTCTCAAAGGGCCGGCAATTTGATGAAATTTCACAAAGGCAGGGCACAAAAGCTGCTCCTCATTCAGACAGACGGTTCTTGCCCTGACTTCACTCAACTGGTTATAAATCCTCCTGAAATGCTCCCCACCAGGAGCCACTGGGAACAGAGCCTAACTGCTGGTGGGGACAGCCCAAAGCCAGCCTGATTTGGGCAGCTGAAAACTGCACCAGGGGCCTTACCCCAGTCATTCACCTACCTTCACTCGTTCCTCCGGCCGCTTTACCACTTTGTCGCTGAGGAATTTGGTGGGGATGAAGCCAGTGACACCATTGTCTAGCCTTGTTTTGACACCGATGGCCTGGCCTGGGCATGAACCACTGTCAAAGTGGTTCCAGACCTAAAGAGGGCATCAGGAGAGGAGCTTGATCATTAAGATTCTGGAGATCACACATTCAGAAAAGAGCTGCCAGGAGTGCTGTAATTCATTTTACCATTGACACTGGCATCATGATGTGAGAACACAACGACTTAGTCACCCAGCAACACAGAATTTGAATATTCCCAAAGTTCCTTGACTCATAACTCATGTTTGGCACCACTGGCCATCAGACCAATTTTTTATGTTAATCTAATTTATATGTCCCTCCAGCTACAACTGAAGCCCCTCCCTCCCATTCTGTTCTGACCTAGTGGGCATCTCTGTGAAATATCTCTGTCAGTCTCCTCAGAACAACTCATTTCAGTGAACCAGGCACACCTTGGCTCTTTTATAACCTGGACAAATCTCACCAGCTTCTTTTATTGGGTAAAGTTAAGAAACTGTCTATTTTACAGTCTGCCTAAATAACATTTGAGGATCCAGAACAAGCTTTCAGGATGGCTTTTATGAGTTCTAACCATGAGAAAAGCAGATGATGTCTAGAAGAATGTGGGAAAAATTAAGATGTGTGTGGACAATGAAAAAATTGAAGGGAGCCTTACAGATACCTTCTAACTAGCATAGGGACACAGTGCCTACACTGTATGTGAGAAATGCATATATCCTCTTGTCTCTACTCTGGTTGAGCTACATCCTCAGAGAATGGGAAACAAGGATTAAGGGTTGAGCGAGAACAGAAAAAACCACATAGATCATTTCTGACTAGCATACAGAGGGACTTCATGTTAGGCCTATATGCATTCCAGCCCTCTTCCTTCTTTGTGTATTCACTTGGTAAAGTGTCATCTAAACTATCCCCATTCTTGGTTCCTTTCTAGGGCACTAAGACCATTCAATAGAGGAAATTCAGAGTTACCATGGTAACAATGCAGCACGTACCTCGCTTAGTTCAGGGAAATTGTCCTGTTGACAGAAGGGGCACTGCCATAGCCCTGTCTCATCGTTGCGGATTGCCTGGTCATAGCTCTCACCCTGTGGACGCCTATGGGCGATGCCAGTGACATTGCAGATAATGAGCTTTCCTGGAGGAAGGGGAGAGGAGGAGAGGGAAGGGAAGAAGAGAACAGGAAGCAGGCTAAGAGAACGGGAGAGGTAACTCCTTCCCACCAGCCGTTTAATGACAGAACTTCTGTCCTAGAGCATCTCCACTGATTTCCTTCACATCCTCAAAAAGGGAGATCTTCCCCTCATTTGATGACAGGAAAATGAGGCCATAAGACTGACCCCATGAAGACCCCACAGCAGCAGGTTAAAAGCATAATCTGACCTTGAACTCAGCTTTGACTTCCAGCTCAGGGCGCTATAATCTTCTTAAAAGTTTCCCTGGTCTTTCCCACCTACAGTACAAACCTGCCTCATTCTGCTGGAACTGTTGCTTGGTATGAATGTGTACAGTAAACGCATCCCCTCACCCCTATGTATCCTCCTCCGGCTAAAAAACAGACACAGAATTTACCAATGTAGAAGGTCTCTGGTGTTTCTTTGGTTAACATATTGAAGATTTCCTCTGTGTTGGGAGAGCGATAGGCTGTCCGGAGGTCCTTATACCGACAGCTCAGCTCTGCTCGGATGTCATACAGAGTGATGTGTTTGTCACCATAGCCCTGGGGAAGAAGCCCCCGTCAAGAAGAGCCTTGCAACTGCTCCCCAACTGAGCCATCAGGGGTTTCAATGAAAGAAGTAGGCCAGTTGGCTCCTGTCAGGGTTTCTCTTCTATCCCCCCAACATTTACTAAAGGACTAAAGGAGGTTTTCAAACTTTTTCTTAGCCACGGAACACTGTTCTGATAAAAATGCCTCACGGAACCCCAATGTGTAAAACAGACAAATGCAAAACCGCACCACTGGAAAGGAGGAAAGAGGGCCTAGAAGGAAACCCTGCTACTCACCCCCTCCCAGCTCCCTTGCAATGTGCCCCCAACAATGACTACAGCAGTCTCCGAGACGTCCTCGGCTCCTTAATAAGCAGACTGAAAACTTCCTTGAGAAACCCAGTACAGCACGGGGAGGGAGAAGGATCAGGTCTCCTACACTAACACTATTAGGGCTTCTCTGAGGACTTGCTGCCTAAGTCTCCTCTCAACTAGGCCACTTGGGATAGTTTCTGTGCCAGGCCTTCTACACTGTCACCCACCTGCCTCTCCAGTTCTTCTGCAAAGGCATCCAAGTCCAGGTCCTTGAGTCGCTCTGGGTTTTCCAAGATCTCCTCAAGGGCCCCTGCAGGGTTGGCATCCTCGGCTGATTCATCATATTCCAGAGCATCCACTGCCATCTTCCTGGCCCACTCATAGGTCTCAGGGTGAACTCGGGAACCATCAAGGACTTCAATATATGAGTCAGTGCTGAAGGAAAGGCAGAAAAGGGGCAGGATATATAACGAGAAGCTTCTAGTAACAACCCAGATGTCCACCAATGGGGAACTGGTTAAATAAATTAGGGTACCTCCATACAATGGAATACTATACAGCCATTAAAAAGAATGAGGTAGATCTATGTGTGCTGACATGGAAAGATGGCCACAATATATTGATACGTGAAAAATGCACTGCAAAACACTATGAACCGTATGATCCCATTTTTGTAGTAAATGGGTAGTTAGTAAATGCATAGCAAAAATAAAATTTAGAAAAGTTGTAGTATACATCAACTTGTTATGGTAATTATCTCTGGGGGGTGGGATTATGGGGGACTTCCACTTTCTGCATAATATTTCTATATGTTGAATTTTATATCATGAACTTATATAAGTCTTATAATAAGATAAAACAAGAAGGGGGAAGAAGACCTTTGAGAATTTGCTGACAGCTACTTTCCCCCATAAAGCCTTCCCAGGCTGGTCTTGCCCGTGCACTCACATGGACCTATGTTATTCGTGGAGTGTTACAGCAAAGCTGGGTGGAAAATGAAGTTTTAGAACTTGAAGCCTATTTCCCCACTGATTTCCATTACTGAATGAGGAGCTATGTGCCCGTGGAAAAGATCCTCCAAAGACTGAGTTGATAACTTCTGGAGAGGAAGAGGTCAATAGTGAAGTCCAAAGTCCAAGTGAATAGAACTTTCTCTCAATAACATCATCTCAAAACATACCAAATCTCTCTCCCCCTTCCTTATGCCTCAGACCCCCACACTGCTTCTCCACTGCCCCTTCTATTCCCACCCTTATCTAGCCACAACAAACCATTAACAACAGAACAAGTATGTGTTTACTGAACCAAGTCTTATGTTTTCTGTCCTTAATTTATAAACTAAATTGGTTCTTTTTATGTTTCTCTCACAAAAAAGCTTCACATAATTGAACTGATCTTTTCCATAGGTCAGAGGCTCTTGACTAAATAAAGGTTCCTCACCTTTGCTTTAAAACATTTCCTAATTTAAACAGCTTGTGGCCCTTTGACAGCCCTAATCCCTGAATCCCCAAAGCAAAGCCCAAGAGAATTCCTCTTGGCCCACCCAGGCAGAGGGCATCACCTGTCCCCCAGGGAGGCCGTGTCGATCTTGAGGAAGCCAGCGCAATTCATGAAGACTTTGGGACCCATGTGGCACATGGTGACCAGCTGGGTCCGGCTCTCGAGCCTGGTGTTGTTCTGTTTCAGGATCTAGAAGAGCAGACTGGAGTAAGCTGGAGCAGTAGGCAGGCCCCACCTCCCAGCCTGCTTTCAGGTCTCTGGGAAACCCTCCATGATGGGAATTTTGCCGCCACACCCCGATATCTAACTGAGCACTACACCATACTAACTGCTACTAAAAAAATTATGTTAAAAGACTACACTATGCCAAGCGAAGATATTACATACCTAACGTATTGCTTCAAAGTTAATGATACAGTCAAGTAGCCACCCCATATTAAGAAAAAAAAAATTACAAATACTCTTGAAGATCACTACATACCCTCCTCTGTATTGAAATCTTTTTTCCACTAGGGAAAACCCCCCCACTATCCTGGGCTTCCCTGGTGGCAAGCCCAGGGAAGAATTTGCCTGCCAATGCAGGGAACACGGGTTCGAGCCCTGGTTTGGGAAGATCCCATATGCCACGGAGCAACAAAGCCCATGCACCACAACTATTGAGCCTGCGCTCTAGAGCCGGCGTGCCACAACTACTGAGCCCGCGCGCCTAGAGCCCGAGCTCTGGAACAAGAGAAGCCACTGCAATGAGAAGCCCGCGCACCACAACGAAGAGTAGCTCCTGCTCGCCACAACTAAAGAAAGCCTGCATGAAGCAACAAAGACCCAATGCAGCCAAAAATAAATAAATAATACACACACACACACACACACACATATATACACACACACATATAAAAAAACAAATAACCCCCACTATCCTGAGGTCTGTGTCTAGTACACTCTCGCTTTCCTCCATCTCTTTTAAATCATGGCTCAGGTTATCTTTTCCATGAGCCACCACTGTACAGTAGTGAAGACCATGACTGTGGCCACCTGGTCTGAAGTCTCTTGACTCTCTCTAGCTTCATGACTCTAGGCAAGAGGTAAAGTGCCTTTACCTCTCTGACCTTGGTCTGCCTGTCAAAGCATATTGGCAAAGTAAAGTTTCAATGAAATAGAACTTTTCTTTTTTTCTGATTCAACCCAATCCTACCTTTAGGAGATGGGTCCCTTTTCGAGGTCCCAGGCCACAGACATACTGAATTAAGGCCTGGCTGTAGGGGTGGGCAATGGCACGGTTGACATCAACTCCAACCTCATTGACTCGGTTGATAAATTCACAGTACAAGGCATTGAGCAGCTCTTCTTTCACCACATGCTCCTGTCGACACACAGCAGGCAGGGATAAGGTTACTGTGCCACTCTGTCCACTTGGGCCTATCTGTCAAATTCTACTCACCTGCAAGGGGTGAAACTTGAGGCACAGAATGTCTTCATCAGAGCTGCAAACCTGGGCAAATTCAATCAGAGGGTCCTGGATACGCCGGGCCAGGGAGACTGCCTGTCTCAGCACAGGAGGGTAATCCCGGAACTCTGCCTAGAGTCAAACAAGGGTCAGCAGGGCCATAAAGTCTCCTCAGCTCTAACAGCAAGAGGAAATCCAAACCGCCTGGCTTTTTAAGTCAATTTCTCTTCTCTGGGACCATTTTTCCTGGGACCAATTTAATCTCTGGGGCTCCCCATCTGAACCATGACTGGCACAATGGAGAGCCTCTGCATAGGTAAGTGAACAGGTGCAATCCTGTGCCCCCATAATCTTTGTTTCCCCAACTCCCTGGGATTGATAGCTCTTGCCTGTGCAGGGCCTAAGGGTGGGGCTCCAGCATTACCTCTGATTTCTTGCTGTTCATATAGAGAATGGCCAATTCATTGTCAATCAGCTCCACCCCAATAGAGGACAGCTGTTGACCTTGGTCCAGCTCATGCACAATGCGCTTCACATCCTCAATCAACATCTGGGCATCCCTGGAGGAATGAGGGGTGCTGGTCAGGGATATTTCTGGACAGTTTCTCAGGGATGAACAATCTCATGGCTGGGAGTGGGGGAGGAGAGAGCTTTGAAGACAAAGAGGTGCAATATCCCCAGGGATATCCCCTGGGGATGGGGATATTACCAAGGCTCTACACAGGCGCATGCCTACTCTGTAACAGGGACAGAGCAGATTCAACAATAAAGGATGAGTGACTTTAAGCCAGGCCTGGCCCAATCCCCTGGTACCCCTACCTGTTCTCTCCTGCAACTGTCACCACATGAGGCTTTTTGTTCAGGAGGAATTTCTTTAGCGTTTCAATGTCTTGAGCCTGGAGTGAAAGAAAATTGGAGCTGAAGGACTTTGAGGATAGGGAGATTTCAAGCACTTCTCTCTCCCTAAGTAGCTTGAGACCTTACAAGACCACAGAACAATGATGCATCACACGTTGTCAAACTGGAAGACAAAACGAGGGGACTAGGACCTCTAGTTTGAACATTGTACTTCTGTTAATATTTCCTAAGATTATTACACTTCTGGCTTATACTTGAGTTGTGGTTAACTAAACATACTTAGGTCTTTTTTTAACATAAACCATTGCCTGGCAGTCAAGACTATTCTAATCTCCACTTTAAGATTTTTCTTTCTTTTTTTAAAGAGCTGTTTGTTGAAAATTATTTTTTAGAATGGAGCTCTGTCAATAAAATTGAAAGATACCTTTATGCTAAAAAAAAATCAGAAGCATATACACGAGATGAATTCAAATTTCTCTTTCCCTGGTAGAAACACAAATGCTAAAGCAGAGAAAAGATTGGCTTAATGCCACAGTGGCTTTCAGCTCCTGGAACAAGCTGACCCAGATGCTGGTAAAAACAGAGGCAGTTATGGCAGCTCCCAGAAGCACATAAGGCCTAGGAACTGGCTTCAAGCCAGAAGGAAATTCTGCACTAGAACTTGAGTGCCATCTACTGCCTACGGAAGTGAGACTTATCCCAGGACTTAAGAGGTCAGGGACCAAGTCAGAGATAATCAGGGTCTTGCACGGGACGTTGCTTAGGCCATAAACTCTTTTTTTTTTTTTAACATCTTTATTGGGATATATTTGCTTTACAATGGTGTGTTAGTTTCTGCTTTATAACAAAGTGAATCAGTTATACATATACATAGACCATAAACTCTTATCCCCACTGAATTATAAGATGTGCTCAAGATGTACACTTGGTAACCTGTCCTAGTCACTTGCCTTCTTCTCCCGTTCTTCCTCTCTCCATGCAGTTCGCCGTTTGGTAAAATGAGGCAGCCGGAGGAAGTCTGTCACTTCTCCTTCACCGTTGACCAAGGCGCAGAACACAGGGTGATCTCTGCCAGCCCAACAGAAAAAGAACCGTGTGATAATCAGCAATATGAGGATATGAGTAAGAGAAGAACGAGACTAGGGAGACAGATAAGGGGTGATGCCAGACAGAAAGTTACCTGGCAGAGGAGAAAGCAATGCCTAGGACTCGGATGCCCTTCCCTTGGTTCTCATCCATAAAGTCATCATCTTCCTCTACCTGTTGATCCGGCCGGTAGGGTGCCACCCTCAACCAGTTGTAGAGCTTCCGACTACAGGCCTGGGGAGGAGGCACACCAGTCACTATGTCCAGCAGGCCCGCCAAGTAGGTTAAGGAAACAGATGCAGGCACACATTTGCAAAGGTCATATTTATATGCATGCACATTCCTAGCCCTCAGCACGCTTACAACATGAAGGCGTACTTTGCTTTTAGAAATAGGAGAGTACACAGAGGCCAGTCGTATAAACAAAGAGTATGTGTATGCAGTGGGGGAGGGAGGGAAGAGGCTCTTCAAGTGGGGAGGTCTTGGAGTGACCCGTGACCTTGTTTGCACTCCCTCTCAGGTTACACTAAGCCTGCCCCCAGTGTTTCCCCATTAGCTACAGGACAGCTATTAAGGGGTGCCTTCACTCTCAGCTCTAGCTTGGGGAAATCATGGGACTAAAGATCACGAGCTCCTCTCCTCACCTTTATGACATATTCTTTGGCTTCAGCCAGCAGCTTGTTCTTGAGCTCTTTGGCCATCTGCACGTACAGGAACTGCTGCAAAGCTCGCTCAATGGCCATGGTCCGCTGCCGATTCCACTCCTGCACCTGGTGGCTGAACTCATCTCGGTAGTAGAATTGTTTGATTTCTTCAAAATACGTCTGGTCATTGCCATAGCTGAGGAGAGACAACACTGTGGTGTCAGGGACAGAGAAAAGGTGACGGCCAAATGCCCTTGAACACTGGGAGTGACTGAGCCAGGGACGGTGGCTTGCTCAGTTCTGAAAGTGTGGTTCACATTCCTGAGGGACCCCTCCTTCCAACAGACTACTGACCAAGCCCTTCCCAAAGAGCCCCCAGCCCAGAGCTTTGCTTACCCTTCCACCCCCTTCATGTCTATGCTGATGTCAATGGTGAGCAGCCCTTCATCTTCAGCCAGGCATATCTTGAGGAACTGGTCATCTCTCAGTTCCTTAACAGGCTTGTTCTTTAAGTACTTGAAGGAGTAAGCGTAGTGGGCTTCATCCACATCCTGTACACAAGAGGGAATCATCAGTCAACAGACAGACTGGGCTTGACCCTTGGAAAAAAGACTGACTTTCTGCTCTCAGGCAGACAGCTCAGCTAAGTGTGAAGGCAAGAAACTCAGTTCAATCAAACAGAGCTGGACCACATGCTAGATCAAAGCCCCTCAACTGGCTTACCTTTCTGCCTTTCTTGGTGGGGGTTATATTGAGCTTGGCTCTCTCCTGGAAAGTTTGCCTCAGCACCTGCCGGACAAGGGGCTCTCGGGCAATCTGCAGGGCTACCATGTAGCGGGCACCTTCCAGCACAGCTTCTGGTGTAGGGAACTGGCTGTAGGGAAAATGGAGGAGCTGCAGGATGACGACATCTTTGCCCTCAGGTCCCTCCTCCTGCCAGCCACCTACTGCAACGCCTACCTGCAAACATAATCCTTGGCCAGCTCCAAGGGCTCTGCAGGAAACTGCTCTGTCTCGTGCCTCTGGTAACTGTCCCGGAGGTTTTCCCCAAATTGCTCAGGAGTAAGCCCAAACTTTTTGGCCAAGCCATCTAAAGCAAACCAGGAGGGTGGAAGGTGAGCCAACAGCTGGGCCCAGTAACCTCTTGGCTTTCAGTCTAGAGCAGCAATTCTGGGCATTAGACTTTAAAGGGATCACAAATGAGCAGGAGCAGGATGTCTTACAGTGAACAGTGAAAACGCTGACTTTAAATACCTAACAGGCTGTCACAAAGCAGAAAAAGTAGAAATTTTCTATGTGACTACTGGGGTCAGAACTAAGGTGGAAGTTACCGTTTAGTAAAAGAACTTCTCAAAGATAGGATGAACTCCCTCTCTCTGATCGTGTGTTTCCCACTCCTTCAGAAATTATGGGAGGCTGGACCATTCCTGTGGCGTGGGTGTGGGTCATGGTAGCAAATGTTAAAAGTGGACTGGTGACTCACTCAGAGGTCCTTTAGGTCCTCTTCCTACCTACCAGTGACTACTGGGGAACGCATACAGCTCGTTTTTACCTAGCCCAGCGCTCTGGCAGATGGTGTACATATCTCGGCGGGAAGCCTGCTTGAGCTCTGGCCCTCTCTGTTCCTCATCTTCTGCCTCCTCACCATCACCTGGGAAGAAAACGTGAGTTAGTCTTCTGGTTTCCGGTTTCCAATCACTCCCAAGGATCTGACACATGTAGAGAAGCCCCGAAGTGTAATCGGCCAAGGGGATCCTTGGAAAGGCCATGGCCACCAAGCCTCTAGGTTTTCTTTTCCAACACTCACCTTCCTCATCTCCCTCTTCTCTTACACGCTTTAGCTTCTTGCGGCTGGCCTTGGCGGCATTCTGCATCTTGGGGATGTCACGACCATAATAAAGCAGGAAATGATTGTAGACATCTTTCAGTTCATCCATTGATTGTACATCCTTGAGCCTGGAGGGAAGGGACATAAGACCTCAACTGTCACAGAGGAAGGGTATACCCCAGTTTTGCTACAAGAGGTCCAATTCCCATGAGGCAAGATCCCAACTAGGATGAGTACCTATATTCTCCAATTATTAAAGACATGCATTGGCCCCAGACCATGACTTAACTGCAATCAAGGTATCTTAAAGGAGGAATATGTCAAATAAGTGGTGGCTGGTGGTTGTTAGAAATGGCAACAAAAAGGGAGAGGCAGATGAGGCAGCATGTCTCCGGTTCAGAGTCCTTGAGACAGTCCTTGTCCTTCTTTCCCAGGTTCATGCCGCTGGCCACTAAAATCATCTGCTCCCCTCCCACACCCCTCTCTGATTCCAGGCTCACCAAGTTACTTTCTGGTTGTAGTTTGGTTTCCCATGTAGCTTTTCACACGGGGAACATATAAATAAGCAAACATGACTATCTGATCCTCTTAACCTTTTATACCAAGAATGGATAAGTAACAGGAATTTCCCTGTCAGAAAGATCACTTTTGACTTGTTGCTAAGTTGCGATTCTAAGGAACGGGTCCCGTGCTGAGAATTTTGCAAGGTTATGCTGCTCTGGGGTGGGGGTGGAAGGGCAGGGGCCTGGCTTTGGTGTGAGGGCTCCCTGTAATGGAATAAACCCTGCATATGCTACCTCTCCATGTCGGTGGTGTCCAGAGCCCGGATGCCATCAGCAAGGGGCTTGTCAGGGTCAGCAGAGATTTGCTCATACTGATAAGCCTGCATCTTCTCAAACAGCCGTGTTAGGTTCTCCTTACGGATCCTCAGCTGGGTCCACTAGGACAAGACAAAGCAGGAGTAAGGGATGGTATTCAGCCTTGGACACCCAAGACCATGCTGTTCCTTACCAGGAGACCCTGGGGGAAGCCTGACAGGGTCTGGGCTGCCACCTGATATGTACAGGAGAACTTGGGTGCCAGTAGTGGTAGTACCCAGTCCAGCCCTCAACCCCTTGAGGGGCATGGATCCCTATATTACCTTTTCATCCCACTGCCACACCCTCCACAGGTCATTGATATGCAACTCGGGCTCCACGTACTCCTTCCGGTAGAAAGCAATGAAAGGCACCTAGAGGGGCAAGGAGGTGGCAGTCAGCCAGAGAGGAAAGATCTGCAAGGACCCCCTTTGTTAGAGGAATAAACAGCTCCAGGAAATTCAACAGTAGGAAGCTTGGCCTCCCTCACAGGCCCATCAGGACACATGCTCTCCCCCACCCACCCCCAACAGGAGAAGATAATGCTGCAAACGGGGTAGCACTGTTCTCTGGATCGCTAGAGTCTATGGTCCTCACGCTTCTTGAGTCAAGGGACCACTGCTGTGGACAGAAGGGGGCTCCCCACCTGATTTAGGTAGCCACCTTTTCCATCACCCCCAGTTGAAATTCTAACCAGTGGGCGACTAGAGCTTGAGGTGCTACCTCAAAATGCTGATTTCTCATGAAGCCCAGGGCCTCTTTAATCTTCTGAATTGTGCTGGGTCCTTTTCGACTGAAGCTGCTGGTTGGCTGCCCTCGGTCTAGGTAATCACAGCTTTCCTACAGTCAGAAGAAAAAAGAAACAGCAACGACACCATTACTTGCTCTGACTTACCACACACAAAACTGCTTCTTGTCACAGGATGACCTTCTCAGATTAAATCTAGAAAAATCTCCCTCACATACCCGCACACACATGCTATTCTATACTAGGCCCACAGATGTTTGGAGCAGGGGAGAAGCAGCTCCCCATCCTAATGAAGTAGCTTCTGGTTCATGTCAAAATACAGCATCTTTTTTGGGGTACCTGCAGAGAAATGGTTGGTGTGGCAAAGGCATTCCTGTAGATCCAGTCAGCCTCTTCTTCCAGTTCATCATCTTCAGCCCCCTTGACGGAGATGGAACGGAGCTGCAGGGGATAAGGCATCAGCATGAGATTGACTTATCTTGTATCTCACGTAGCAAAAACATGCACTACTTCTGGACAAAAACGTGTGCTCCAGAGGCACACGTTTCTAGTACCCGGAAGAGTGTTGTCTGGCAAGAAGTAGGCATGTCGTGTATTTGCTCAAGAAACCATAAGCCACTGGAGAGTCTATGTTGAGCTAGACTTCCTGTATGCCTGGTCAGATGGGGTTCAAAGCCGACTTCCTGTATACCATTTTTTGGTGTTTTTTGGCTGCGCTGCCCCAACGAGGGATTGAACCCGCGCCCCCTGCAGTGGAAGCATGGAGTCTTAACCAGTGGACCGCCAGGGAAGTCCCCCTATATACCATTGTTGTTAAGATTGTTGCTAGATTGTTTCTCTGCTATAACTCTTGTACCAAGGAGGCTTAGGGCAGTTGATGACAGTTCAGCAGGACAGACACTGGTGCTTCCTTACCTGGAACCTCTCAGGCAGGTCAGTAGCTCGGATTTCATTGTCCTGATCTGTGAGGTGGCTGCTTTCCAGCTCACTGGGCTCATACATCTCGAAGATGCTCCTGCGGCTCACACGTTTCTTGGTGGTCTTCTTGGGGCGCACTCGGATCTCGCCCTCAGCCTCATCGTCCTCATACTCATACTCTTCCTCCAGTTCTTCATCATACTCATTATATTTCTCAAATTCGTCATAGTCAAAGTCCACACCAAAAATCTCCTGGGCTTCTTGCAGGGCACTGTGGGTGAGAGCAAAAGGCAGTTGGCCCAGATTCCAGTGAGAGGAGACAAATGCAGCCCCTGCAGAGATCCTGTACCTACCCCAAGGGGACTAAAAAGGTTAAGAGAAATGTAAACAAAAAAAGCATATTCACTGCGGAGGAAAGGCTTAGCTGGGGGATATTTCTGGGGAAACTTTTTTTTTTTTTTGCGGTACGCGGGCCTCTCTCCGTTATGGCCTCTCCCGTTGAGGAGCACAGGCTCCAGACGCACAGGCTCAGAGGCCATGGCCCACGGGCCCAGCTGCTCCGCGGCACGTGGGATCTTCCCGGACCGGCGTATGAACCCGTGTCCCCTGCATCGGCAGGCGGACTCTCAACCACTGCGCCACCAAGGAAGCCCGGGGAAACTATTATTTATTGAGATTAAAAAGCCCATCTTTGGCACGTGCCAGTGACAAGGGTCAAACAGCAACAGGCACATGGTTTCATGTCACACTCAGTAGATCCATCTTCTGCTAAGACATTATAGTATTCCCTCAGGGCAAAAGCCTTCTTCTAACAAAATTATATTTAGAAGACTAATAAATAAACAAATGAACATGGAGCTGCAGGTGGAAGAGAGAGGCTGGATCCTTGCCTGTGTGTGCCTCCACCTTCATCCCACCACGGCCCTTGAATGCTGAGAGAGCTATCAAAGCTTCTAGAAACAGTCCGACAGCACTGCCTGGTAAAGGATATTACGGGCAGGGAAGCAAAATGCTGAGAGCTGACTGTTCCATTTTTAGCAGAGGCCTCTGACCTCCTCCTTCCTGCTCGGGTCCACTCAGATGCCCTTATCACCACCTCGCACCAGACCCCACTCACGCATCAGTGTATCCAGGAAGCTTTTTCCGCCACTTAGGTTTTTTCAGTGGTTGTCCATCGTCATCCACAATGAAGTCATCAATGTCTGGATAGGGAAGGGAAAGGTTAGTGCCCAGAGGCAGGGGATGAGCCAGGACTGAATGGCTTTAGTTCCTACTGTAGGAGTGGTCGGTGAGAAGGGGAGACAGATTCCTGAAAAGGAACTTCTTTGTGTCAAATGCTGGGGGCCAGTAGCTGAACAATGGTCTCCCATTCTATTGTTCGGGGTAGGAAATCCCAACACCCCGCCCCAAACTGGCTTCCCTGCCTAATGCCACATACCTGACTCTTCATCATCTTCTTCCTCCTCCTCTGGAGGAGCCATGGGGGCCTCCACGGCCTCCTGCCCTTCTTCCCCTTCCCCATCCTGAAAGATCTCCTCTGCAATAGCTTCTTTTTCATGTTCCTCCTTGCCATATTCCTCTTCGTCATCGTCCTCATCATCTGACATTTTTTTGACACGTCGGTATTTTTGCTAGGGGTGGAAAACCTGCCTCGTCAGGGTCTGAGGGAACTGGCATAAGGACCCCTGCTCTCCAGTCTCACTCCTATTTTCCCACCCCAGCTATACTGACAAGGGAGATGGGAAAGAACACATCAAGTACGCCCCAAGGCCCACCCTTGAAACTTTGACAAGCCTTTAACAGGCACCCAGAACTGGCTCTATAGCACAGTGATACTGAGCCACTTTCTCCCCGCTGACATTCCCCAAACTGTTCTGGATGTGCCTCCTCCCCCCAGAGTCGCTGAATTTCAAGGGCTTCTTCCTTCACCCCCAAGGACAGAGACAAAAAGGGCACTTACTCCTCTTTTGACTTTGACACCCAAATTCTCCTCAATGAGATCAAAATCATCATCCTCCAAGCGGTCGTCAAAAGATGCTAGAGAAGACAGAGTGGTTGCCCATGGTGATGGGGAGGCCCCTTCTCCACTATGACTTAAACCCCATCCTCACCTGACCTAAGGAGAGGCTACTCACTGCGTTTTCTCTTCTTGTGGCCAACATCATCTTCTGAATCACCAGAGTCACTACCCTCATCCTCCTCCCCTTCATCTTCATCGTCATCGTCATTGATAAAGCCCTTCAGGTTTCCTTGTTCATCCTGATCATCCAGGTTCTCCTCCTCCTCCTCCTCATCTGGAAAACATGCATGTTTGAGGCATGCAGTTTGGGAAATAGGCTGGGGCTGGGGCAGGGCCACCTGCTTAACTGTTATTTCTCATCTGCTCTGAACCTAATGACCTGGATGCCATGTTAACTCTTCTGCCTCATCTAAAGATACAAAAAACATGACCACTGACTTAGAGCAGCTTCTGGAAAAGAATATCTCTTTTCCACATTCACCATCTGTATTTAGGCAAGATGAGCTTCCTAATTACTTTGGCTTGTCAAAATCATTACTAGAGGCTTTACAGCCACCAGTAACCTTTGTTTTCCTCTCAGTTTATAAACTCAGTAGCTATATTCCTTCTTTCATCCATAATGCTTTTCATGAAGCTTGCATTTTCCTTTCTGTCTCTAGAGCAATTTCATGGTTGCACTCTGCTGATGATCCTAATGGTTGGATTTGCACAGAGAACTTGGAAAGTGGGTACATAAATACCAACACTGCTAAGTCTCTAAAAGAGCGAACCATTACCTATGTATTTATTTATTGGTTTACTGTCTGTCCCCTCCCACTAATATAAGCTCTACGATAGCTGGGACTTTATGTTGTATTCCTAGTTCTAGGTACAGTGCCTGGCATACAGCAGACAGATGTTCAGTAAATATTTTCTATGAATGACTGAAAATTCTCAAGCTGGTACCTCATGTGTGATAACTTCTGTGCTCAGCCTGAGCCTCTCATCAGCAAGAATCCAACTATCCAAAGCTTAGCAATACTGGGGAGAAGCTTGAGGCTGGGGCTTCCTCACCGTCATCCTCCTCTTCTACAAATTTCTTGGTGACCCGGGGCACCACCTCGCCTGCATCATTGTACTCTTCCTCTGACTCCTCGGCCTCGCTTTCCACAAAATCAGACATTGCTGCAGCTTCTCACGGCCTGCCTGAAGATGACTAGGGAAGGAAAGGAGTAGGGGATAAAAAATGAGACAGAGGACCTTTAAACATTGCCACAAAAAGCATTCAGCTACGTGCCACTGATCTGCCCAATCATTTCTACCTGGGAGGAGAGAGTAAGAATCAGATGGCTCCATCTCTTCCATTATCCATTCCTCTCACAATTGCCCCTCTCATGTGTACCTTAAAAAAAGCAATTATACTGGACTGCTCTGTATATACCATCTTGCTTGTCCAAAGAGTTTTACTGCACTTACCATCTGGGGACAGAAATAAGCAAATGAAGAAATTAGTGTAGGAATAATTATATAGGTAGGGATACAGTGTAGTGAGTTTATATGACTCACTCATAAGTTTGGGAAACAATAACTAAATGCCAACTTAATGACAGGAACTTTCATATACACTATCAAAAGGAAAATCCTTTTTGACAGATTAAACAACGTTTCATGAAGTTGAGCCCACTTGCGTGAGTAGTGGTTGGGAGCATTTGGGCAGAGAAGGGGCCTCTTCAGAAACATTAGAACCACAACTCTATTGTGACCATTTACCTCCCCAGCAAAACAAAAACCAAAAAACCAAAAATACAAAAAACACTTAGAAAGAGACTTCCATGGCCTACAAATTAAATGCAACATAGCTAAATACAAAAACTGCTGGGCCTAAGAGCAGAGATCAAATCCTGGCCCCACCACCTACTAGGCATATAAACTTAAGCATATTATTGAACGTGCCTGAATATCAATTTCTTCATCTGGAAAATGGCAACAGCACTACCTACCTCGCAGGACAGTTAAGAATATTACATGACATAGGAGAAAGAACCTAGTCTACTATTTCAAAAAATGCTAACTGAGTTTAAATTTGAATCCTGGGCATAATTTTCCTCAGCATTCTGTAATTTTATACCAACCAATCCCAACTTTGTCTTCTACTTTCCCGCTGTCAGATGCACCCAAGTCTGGAAATGGCAGTGGAGAACCACAGAACCATGAAATGGAGTTTCCTGGGCTTTAAAAACACAGCACTGGGACTTCCCTAGTGGTGCAGTGGTTAAGAATCTGCCTGCCAATGCAGGGGACACAGGTTTGAGCCCTGGTCCGGGAAGATCCCACATGCCGCGGAGCAACTAAGCCCGTGCACCACAGCTACTGAGCCTGCGCTCTAGAGCCCGCGAGCCACAACTACTGAGCCCATGTGCCACAACTACTGAAGCCTGCACGCCTAGAGCCCGTGCTCCGCAACAAGAGAAGCCACTGCAATGAGAAGCCCGTGCACCACAACGAAGAGTAGCCCCCACTCGCCGCAATTAGAGAAAGCCCGCACGCAGCAACGAAGACCCCACGCAGCCAAAAATATAAAAAACAAAACAAAGCAAAAAAAACACACAGCACTGATCACACAAACCATAGCATCAAGATTCCATTCTGGAATCCTGAAGCTGGCTGCTGATCAACTCAGCACCACTCCTCATGTCCTGAATTACGGTCCACTGCATATGTCCATTTTCTCCACTTAGACTATAAGCTTCTGGAAGTCAAAGATGATATCCAATTGAAGGGCTAATAAAAACCATGAAAACATAAACGGCAATATAAGAGGCATTACGTGGTACTTTATTCTGTACCAGATAAGCTGTTTCCCACTAGGTGCTCTATACAAAATAGAAACTGCTAAGTATCTGTTAAATAGATTACTTATTGTTTCATGTCTTCCCAGTTAAAGATGGCAGTGGAACTGGAGAGAGAGGAGGGTGGCTAATGGCTACCTCTAGTGGTCTAAGCTTTAGAAGGAGGCTTAAGTTCTGTGGCTCTAATTCTCCTGAAAATTACCCTTACTGATATCAACTGATGCCATAATCAGTTAAGATTAACTGAGCTCAAGGAAATAAAACTGAAGGTACTAAGTTCTGGTGGAAAGGGAGGGTCAATGACATGGTCTTATGTTCAATTTTAGGCTGAGGTTTCAGATGCCATTCTTTTCAAACTGTACTGAATGCCTACCAAGTACAAACACTCTGCTAGGAGCTGGGGATTTGAAGAGAAACAGGACTGTATGTTCTCAAGGAGCTGATGTCTAGTAGAGGGCCAAATAAGAACCTTAAAATAATTTTATGTATTTTGACATATATGTAGAGCAGACACAGGAAGAGAATTGGAAAATGAACAAACCCAAAAAACCCACCCAAAACTAATATAGTCCTTTCCTGGGTACTTTACGCAATTAAAAAAAATGTGCCCTGAGGAATATTTTTTGCACACCTACCAAGTTCCAGACACTTAATAAATAACCTATTAACCCCTACATTGTCCTAGGAGTTACAGCACACTTCTCTCTCCATTCAGCAAAGGAGGAAATAGACTCAGAGATTAAGTCACTTGTTCAAGGCGACACAACTGTCAACTGCAAGAGGTGAGATCTGAGTTAAGGTCTGTCTGACTCCACAGAAACAGTTGTTTCTATCATATCAGTAGTTCTCAAAGTGTGGTCCAGGGATCACCCCCTCCTTTCTCTCATGAGTGTACAGTGGAGTTTTCCAGAGGTTATACGGCAGACATGTAGTATCACAACAGATTGAATGCAGAAGCAGGTAGGAGAATCCAGCATTCCTCTATTAAGGCAGACATTAAAAGGATTTGCCAAAATCAAAACAAAACAAAACAACCCAAACCCAAAACCAAAACAACCCCCCCTCCAAAAACCCAAAACCCAAAACAACCCCCCAAACAAAAAAAACCCCCCAAACCAAAAAAAAAAAAAACCCAAGCAACGTCACTCTTCTTACTACGTTTTTTATTTTGAAGATTATACTTGTTTTTCATAAAATGTGTTATTTATGCTAAAATGTAGTGGGCTTACATTTTTTCTCAGCTTTATTCATGTACAATTGACCCTTGAACAACATGGGTTTGAACTGCGTGGGTCCACTTATATGCGGATTTTTTACCCAGTAAATATAGTAGTATCTGTATTTTCATTTTACAGATCTTTAAATTAAATGTGGGAAACCGTTTGTGTTTGATTAGAGATCACAATATGTGGAATCAAAAGAATCAGGGTTTGAGTTTTTTTTTTTTGCGGTATGTGAGCCTCTCACTGTTGTGGTCTCTCCCGTTGCAGAGCACAGGCTCCGGATGCGCAGGCTCGGCGGCCATGGCCCAGCCGCTCCGCGGCATGTGGGATCTTCCCGGACCGGGGCACGAACCCGTGTCCCCTGCATCGGCAGGCGGACTCTCAACCATTGCGCCACCAGGGAAGCCCAGGGTTTGAGTTTTGATTCTATCCAAATTGTTTCAGTTTCCTGCCCTTGGGTGAGTCATTCATCAATTCCTTTGTTTTTGAGGCAGAGATAGCCATATGGGATTGTGAGGGGAAGAGAGGTGGGTCAGCACATCAACCCTGTGTTATCCAAGGGTTAACTGTAATTGGCATATAACATTGTGTGAGGTTAAGGTCTATAATGTGTTGATTTGATATACTTGTATATTGCAAACAGGCTTATTATTATGTTAAAATGAATTAACATTCATCTATTTATTTAGTCATTATTAATTTAGTTTAGAAATTAATTTTAATTTCTAATCTGGTTTAACATCTACATGTATAAATCTCAAACATCAATAGATATAACTCACATTAACAAAATGTCTTTGGAATCTTAAATTATCTTTGAGTATAAAGGGGTCCTGAGTTCAAAAAGTTTGAGAGCCACTATACTACACCATTGTATAGGTCCCACAGGGTGGTGATACAGGAAGCCTTGGGTTAGACTGATGCCCTTTCCCCCCCAGGATTTGTATCCTTAAGGTCATTCAGCCCGAGTACAGCCAAAAGTGAATATCTAAAACTTCTGCCGATTAAATGTGGTGCTCTAATTTTAATACTGCTGTCTTTCAGCCCTGAACTAAGTCATTAAAAATAGATTTGGGTACAGCAAATTTGGGATAGCTTGCTTTACTTATAGGCTATCAGACCCACAAATTCAGTCTTGTAAGGCCTCAACATCTTCACACTAAATGCCAGCTCCTCCAGACCAGATGCCCTACAGCCTACTTAGCAGAGAGAAACAGACAACCTACCTGATGAAAGCACAGCTTTATTCTGTTCTGCGGGCAGCTGGTGCTCTGTGCTGCATGCAGCTTTCTTCCCATTCCCTAGGTTAGCAATGAAGTACATGCTGTGCTATAGCTGGGGAATGCCTCCGATCTAACTCATTGCCAAGACTTCTAGTTAAAACAGATTGTGCAAGAAGCAATCCTGATTTGCTGCAACTTGGGGGAGCTAGATGTGCAGAGGGTGCTGCAGCAGCACTGCAGGCTGAGGTTGGCAAACAGCAACTATTCCAGAACAAAAACACTATTTATTAGTATGTGATTATCATTAATATATGATATCTGAGTCTGATGTCATTTGTATTTTGTATTTAGGACTTATGCTCTTGAATTTTCCCCATATTCAGATTGTACGTTAAATTTGCTACTGAAATAGATCCAGAAGGGGAGTGGGGTGGTGAAAGGAGAAGGTTTCTCCAGGCGGAAGCACAGCTGCAGTACAAGATGTGGCTCAAAGGGACAGGCTGGCGGTTACCATGACATTCTCTGGAAGAGCAATGGAGCTGGGATCAGATTGCCACAGGGGAGGCCCTCCACAGTCCCTCCCTTTGAACAAGATGATGTAGGAGGCAATTACAAGGAGACCAGAGCAAAAAGAGATGTCTGTTAATTCCCTCCACTGGCAGCTTCAATTAACGTTTACAGTTTAGTATTTTTAGGGTAAAGCTCTGTGCTGGGACTTGGGCATATAAAAATAAGTAAAACATGCTTTTGACCCTAGTGTTCATATTCATCTCACAAAAAACTTGTAAATAAAGTTACGACAGGGGCTTCCCTGGTGGTGCAGTGGTTAAGAATCCGCCTGCCAATGCAGGGGACACAGGTTCGAGCCCTGGTCCGGGAAGATCTCACATGCCGCGGAGCAACTAAGCCCGTGCGCCACAACTACTGAGCCTGTGCTCTAGAGCCTGCGAGCCACAACTGCTGAGTCCGTGTGCCACAACTACTGAAGCCCGAACATGAGCAAAGGCTTAGAGGTCTGACAGGGCCTAGTGATCTGGAGAATAGCCCTAGAAGTCTGGTGTGGAGTTTAAACTATAAGACATTCTGCATTTGATGAGCAAGAGCCTAGGACTACTCCAAAGGTGTTCACAAATGACTACCCAACTTGGAATACAAAATCCTAAGAGTTTAATAAACAAAAGTATTCAGAGTCCACTCAAGACAAGTTCTTTTAAATTTGGGATTCAGAACTCTGTTAGGAAAATCTTAATCACATCAAGTCAAGATGTTAGAATACAGAAAATGTTAATTATACCTATAACCATTTTAACATGCACACTGTATTTATAAGAAATAACAGTCTTAGAATCTTTTCAAGAATCTTTTCAATGCCTGGGCGTAAAAAGCACTATTGTTAATGGTTAACATAATAAGTAATTTTAAAATATTAGTTTTTTCTTTTCTTTCCATGTTTCCTTGGGGGACAAGGGCAAACGAGGTGCAGGAACAACTAAAATATGTAACCAGATTCAGTATCCCTGCAACAGTTACTGAGCCTTGTGCATCACACACTGGGGGAGCAGACAGTTCCTGCTCTAGCACAGAGGGGCTGATCTGCCATGGTAGTACAAAAACAGACATAGACAGTATGTAAATGAATGGGAGTGGCCTAATTTCTTAGTTTAGTAATCCCAGATCTAGAAGCACAGAAGGTCTTTAAAGAATTGATGGCATGGGCTTCCCTGATGCAGTGGTTAAGAATCCACCTGCCAATGCAGGGGACATGGGTTCAAGCCCTGGTCCAGGAAGATCCCACATACCATGGAGCAATTAAGCCCGTGCGCCACAACTACTGAGCCTGCGCTCTAGAGCCCCCGAGCCACAGCTACTGAGCCCGTGCGCGCCTAGAGCCCATGCTCTGCAACAAGAGGAGCCAACACAATAAGAAGCCTGCGCTTGCCGCAGCTAGAGAAAAGCC